AAATTAAACACTATCTACAGATTTGCATCGAAGCGTTTCTTATGATAGTGATTTTAATCACTGTCAGATTAAATCTATACTGGACCCTACTATGCAATGTCTCCACTATGCCGCGACCCCACTGTGCTACCGTTTTTTTATTAATGACTTTATATATTAAAAACGGTAGCACAGTGGGGTTGAGGCACAGTGGGGACAAGTATAGATGATATCTGACAATGATTAAAATCACTATCATAAGAAACGCTTCGATGCAAATCTGTAGATAGTGTTTCATTTAGAGAAATTGGTGGATTATTCCAAAAGCAACATCAACTCTTATTTCTTTAATTATATCCTGATTAGTAGTTCTTTGATTTTAAAATATAATATATGAATAAATACTAATTATAATTATTAAATTTAGTATGAAATTGATATTCAATAATTTAATATTGTAATTTAAACGGAGAAATTATAAAAATAATAAAGAAGTTATATTTTGCATTACTTTACGTGTATAAAAATTTAAAGGGCTTGATACAATATTTTTCAATAAAAACTGTTTGTTACTATAAACAAATGCACTGGACTACAAGGAACTTTCATCAGAAGCAAAAATATACTTTTTTAAATCAATTTTTCGTGTTGTTTTCAAAACTGCAATTAGACTTTTTCTATCACTTCTATTTTTTTATATTATTATTAATTACATACAAAATCATAATTAGAAGAAAAAAAAATTTGTTTTTAAATTATTACTGATTTGATTTTTAATATATTAAAAATAATCAGTCCAAATTTTCATTTTTAACCTATTTTTTTGGTCCTTTAAAGTTGATGAAAAGTTTTTGTGAAAGTTTATAGTAAAAAAATTGAATATGTTACATTAACTTTTAGCTCAATTACAAGTTTGAAATTGATAATATTAAATAGAAAATTTTATGAGAATTAAAACAATGCTATTTTTAAGATTGATATGCAGTCAGGAAATTTTATAATTACTATTAACAGTATATTTATCAGAAAAACTCATTATTTTTTTGCATTTTTATCGTAATAGAACACTTAAATAGAAATCATAGTAATCATTTTTAAGTAACTTTTGGTATTAAAAAGATTCTACAATTGAAATATCCAGAACTGAATTCATTTTAATAATTTACTTCAACTAAAAAAAAGTTATAATTTTGAATCCCTCTTGTGGGCAGGTAAAGGGTTAGATTTATAAAAAAAAACCAAATGATAGGTAAAGACATGCATTTATATAAAAAAAAATTATACTGATTTAGTCATTTTTGATAAAGTTATAACAGTTAATAAAGTTATAAGTTTTATACACTGGACTACAAGGAACTTTCATCAGAAACAAAAATATACTTTTCTAAATCAACATTTCGCGATTTCAAATGTGCAATTAGACTTTGTCAATGAATGATTTTAATTGTCTATATGGAGAACATGGGATAACTAACTGTTTCATTGATAAATTAGTATTTTTTTTCAATTTTTGAGGATAATATCTTCAACTAGATACGAATTGTAGTCATTTGACGTATCGTTGAAAAAAGTAGGTAAAGTAAGAGCAGAGACAATAAATGATAGTCACAAAAAAATATCTTCTCAGCTTCGCATCGAAGCTAAAATTAATGGATTATTCTAAAATCAAAATGAACTATTATTTTCTTATTTATATCCTGATTACAAGTTTTCTGGCGTATAATTGTAATATATGAATAAATATTTATTAATTTAGTAATGTAATTTTTTGGAGAAATTATAAAAAATTATAAATGCAATACTTTGTTACTTATAAATAAATTTATTGGTCTACAAGGAATTGTTATTAAAGACCAAAATATACCTCTCTAAAACTTTGCGTCTATTTCAAATCAACAATTAAAATATCGTATATGGACTAAATAATAATAAAATCCGTCTAATTAATATAACAAATATTTATGATTATTATGTTACATATGAATAATCTATAATTATATTTTGATGGAAAAATAATCAAAATAAGTTTAAATTTATATTTAATATAAATTAGATTCATGTAACATTTATAAAAATTGATGGACACATTACTATGGCTAACTCTTGTAAAGTATTTTAATTTAACAAAAAAAAAAAATTTGAACACAAAAATAACATGTTTTTTAAATACGGTAGTCATTTGCATGTAGAAGATAAGTCGCCGGGACAAATTTTTTTATCAATTTTACTACTCAACATAAGCTTTACTTTGACATATGTTTAAAGGACACAGTATTTCCGGAACATTTTCAAAAACTAAGTTGAAAAAGTTGACGTTTGTAAAAAAGTTGCTATTTTGAATCCCACCTTGTGAGCAAGTAAAAGGTCAGAATGTCAAATAAATTATATCAAATAAAAGCAAAATGTATCTATTTAAAAAAAAATTATTTTGACTCGTTAATTTTTAAAAAAATTATGGTATTTAAAAAAAAAAAAGTGAAAAAAATGAAGAAAATGACTGATTTTGAAAATTGTAATTTTTTTTGGAGATTTCTCACATTTACGGGAAACGAGAGAAATGTTTTCAATTTTTAAGGGTAATGTCTTTAACTGGGTACGATTTGTGAAAATTGACGTTTCGTTGAAAGATATCAGTCGTGAGAGCTGAGAAATAGTGGTAACAGACACAAAAAAAAAAAAAACCCATCATAGTAAAATTAATACTTTCTCAACTTCGCATCGAAGCTAAAAATCATCGGAACGTTTTATTATTGTTATAGTTCATTAAAATAAAATAGATTTTTGAGAAAATTTTCAGTGCTAAAGTGGTTTGCTTAAAAGTTAACCCATTCTAAAAAAAATAAATAAGGTCTCTATAGCTGAATAAAATTATTTGTGAATTTTAAAAAATATTTCATGAAATATTAAAATAAAAACCTTCTTAACTTTGCAATAGAATTAAAAATTTCATGAAATTTTAACCCTATTTATTCATTTAATTAATATAATTCAAAGTATCAAAAATTACGATTCGTAACTTGTAAATAATAGCACAAAATATTAAAGATGTTTAATGTGAATACGATTTCAATTCTATAGCACATTTTATTTTGTTAAAAATAAAAAAAATAAAGTATATTATCTAATTTATTATTAAGTTTAAAGGTTATTAATAGTTACATTAAGATTATTAAATTAAATTAAACAATTGTACGATTGAGTATATCAAGCTTTTATGGAAAAACAAATATTAATTTTTATTTATTGTGTAAATACTAAAAAAATATAAGCAAATTAAATAATAAATAAAAAGATAAGACTATGTTAATCAGTGTTTTAGAAATGAACGATTTTAAGAATTGTTATATTTTATAAGAATTATTGTAAATAATTTAGAAAAAGTACTCCCCTAAATAACTTTAAACTATCAGTAACACTATTAACCACTCAACTCTTCAAATATAATAATAAATGATATACATTATATTAAAAAATTAAACACTAATAATAGTTACATATAAATTACATATAGATATACGTTTATATTTACGTATCGTGTTGATATATTTATCAACAAGTATTTTATAAAAGTTTTAATAATTAATTTATCAAAATATTATACATTTATAATGTAATCTGGACTAACGTCCGTTATTATTATTAAAGAAAAAAGTAATAATAATCGTCACAGTGATGTACTAAGGATTTTCAATGAAAAGTTTTTAACCAAATGAAATTTTGATAGTTTTCAAAATAACGATATTGTGTATATAATTTTGGATTCATTCATTCATGTTACATTAAAAAATTTTGTTTACTCGTCTTCTTCATCATCATCTTGAATGTATCGATAAGGAATGGAACGATTAATACACTGCCGTGTTGGACGGGATCCACCAATAGTTGTACTATCTGACCAACTACTAGTGTCACTAGGCTGAATATCTAGACTGTCTTGAAACGTGATCGACCTATATGCATAAAAATTAATTTAGGATCTACTACTATGGTACATTGAAAAAAAAGCCTAATAACCACAAGTCGAACATCAAAACCATCCTTTGATGAGATATATATTCACTATTTTATATCTACAGACAGTTAAATTCTTATTAGAGTTACATTGCTCATGTTTCAAAGTCGAAACTTTGAAATGTCTTTTTTTGAGACGCGCAGATTATTATTGAGATTATGCATCACAGTATAAAATATGATGATTTTGACTAACAGTATTCTTAGTTCTTTTATTTGTGGTAACTAAATAGCGCTGCATCAAGTCAAACTAAGCTGTTCAACGCATATAGACATTAGCTTGAAAATGGGTATTTTGAAAAAAATTACTAATGATAAGTTTTGAACATGTTTTAATAAATTAATTAAAAAGTATAAAATGCCAATAGTTATTAAAGTTGTCCATTAGATACGTTTCATCTTGTTTAATACCAGTGCCTTAATGATGAAATTATTTATTTTTCGAACATTAAACTCGTGGTCATTTACCTAATGGACCAAATAAATATTATGAAAAACCCTAGGAAATGGTACTTCCTGCAACATCCTACGTCGTGACTATGTTAAATAAGTCATTACACTTGGAGTAACTTGGGGTTAATAAGCACACTTTTTATTTTATTACATATATCTTATAGTACACACAAAGAAAAACCTCAATCAAAATTGAAAGAGAAATTTTATCATGGGTTTATGATAATGTTTTATTAATACGAACAAAATAACTATTCTTATAAATAATTATTGTTCAAGACAAGAAAAAAAAATATCATATTGATAAATATATCATTGATTCAATAGTAATGATATATTTATCAAATTGAACAATGAATTTATTATATAGATCGAGGTTTTTCTCTGGGTGTATATGGTAGTTATAAACAATTTTCATTTTTTTTTTTAGCTAGACAAACTATTAAAAATAAAAGTTGAGCAATAATAATGAGATTTGAATATTAATTAATTGTTAATAAAAATATTCTATATCCAACGAAAAAAAAATGTCTTTTAGAATTGTTTTATTAACTTAAATAGTATCTCTTAAAGAGTCATATATAATATAAAATATCAAAAAAATATTGTAATCTATATAATGTATTCAATTTTATTTCGATGATTTTGTAACAACTAAAATTAATTTAAAATTTGATATTTGTCAACCATTGTTTTATAACTATAAAATTTAATTATTTATTTCAATATTAAACGTTTACCTTATTTTTCTCAATATAAAACTTAAAATTTAAAACAATGGCAAGAGTTATAATCATTTTATGGTAAAAAAAAAAAAACAATATAAAATTACTTGGTTATTTTAGATTTTTTCTTTTTCACTGGAGTTTCATTTTGAACGACTGGAGGAGATCTGAAATTATTAATACAATTTATTATTTCAATCATAGGTACTAACATAATTTTACTTTGAATCATATAAAATAATTAAGTTATTTCTATCGTAAACTAACAGCATAATTATTAGCCATTAGGTGCGTACTGGGAGTCAAACAAATATTGTAGCGGCCCTACTCGGTTTAAAATAAAAGTTGAGCAAAGAAAATAAATGGTCAAAATTACAAAACGGGTTATACAATTCAGAACGGACCAAGAGCAATCGTCCCCTTGCTCTTGCGGCCCTTGTAAGTTAAACTGATTGACCAAAAAATCTTGCTAATGTTATAAGTTGTATTGTGAAAAAATTTTAGTAGAAAACAAGTCCTAAAGATAAAATGCACTTATCATCAATAGAATTTTTAGTTGTGGGAACCTGGGGAACAATGGTACACATTACGTTTAACTTAATGTAACATACTCAATTTTAACTATTTAAAAAAAAATCTAAAATTATATTAAAATTTAAGGTACATGCTAGTAAAAAACCGTTAATTCTGTCTACATATTAATTTATATCATAGACTTAGACGAGAGGCTTACAGTTTACAATTTTATTCTACCAGAAGTTAAGCAAAGTTATATGCATTGTTATAAAAAAATTATTTTTTAGAAGGAAAAATGATTAAGTTTAGTCGCACCAAAATGTTGACCACCCTGTTTTTATAATTTATGTATTCACGACAAAACATATAAAAACGTTATACGTAAAATTTTTTCAACTTTGTCGTTTTAAAGCTGACTAGTCAGCTTCACTTTAAAACTCTGTTAATTAAAATGTTAAAACAGTATTTTAATTAAATTAAATGTCAGTGTCTTATTGTAATATAGAATTATTATGAATACAATATTTCCTAAGACAGGCGCAGATATAAAAAAGACATAACAGCAGTGCCCCTTTGTAAACAAGTGATTTCACTAAAGTATTTTTTTATTAATTTTCTAATTGACTTTTTTGAAATTAAAAAATAACATTTTTATATGTAATAGTTAAAAAAAGGAGCTTTTCCAGTTTTTTTTTACATACAAAAAAAATACGTAACATTTCAATATAATTATAATAAAATGTAAGACATAAACAAAAAATAAATATAATTTTTAATTTTAAAGTGAAGTTTTGAAGTATAAATTCGGTGTTTAACAGATATTTCAAAGCACATTTATTTTAATTTATTTAAAAAGTTGCAATTTTTTGGTAATGTTTATATTTTTCAAGGATTTTACAAAAAATGCAAGTCTTCACCTAAAAAATAAAAATACATTTGCTAGGGGTTTTTAACTTTTAGGAATAAACATTTTATTTGAATTGTTAAAGTATGCGTGTTTTATGCTATTTCAGAAATTCTCATTTTGTTTTTGTTATTTAAAAATATGTAACTTATAAAATCAATATAATAACCGGTTTTAATACACTAATAGTGTATTTAAGCTTATAGATACTAGTTTTATTTTATAATTATATTTATGTACATTTAAACATATTTAGATGTATTTCGAAATTGTAAATCATAAAAAAGAAAATGGCTGACTTTTCCATGGAACGCCTCATTGGATGAGAAGAACTATTTACATAGGATCCCTAGTGCCGGGTGTGTATTTAAAGGTGAATTTGTTAATGCTGGTTGATATTTTTATTAAAAATATTTTGACTTGAGTATTTTTAATATTTTAGATATATTTATAATCTAAAGTATTTTTACTTGCCTAACTATAAGCATACGATTTTATTTCCTAGGACATAATTTTGTAGGGTTTAAAAAGTACGACTGAATTAAAGAGTTATCTTATACTCTTTATATTAATAAACTAGTATATTAACAAATCCACCTTAAAAAATAAATGGATCATATAATTTAGAGGATTTAATGAATAAAACTTTAGAAATTTTCTTTATAGAATTTTTTACTCCTAAAAAGCTAGTGCCAGATATAAGAAAGAACTAATATATTACGTACACGATTAATTATTTGTATTAGGTGTTAATATTTATGCATGAATGATATAGTTTTGATTAAATAAAGAAATTGTTAGTAAAATTTGAAATTAAATTTTCTATTTTAATATTTTTTAAAACTAACACTTAAATAAAAGTATTATCATGAATTATTAGTGATATAAATTTATACTATCAGTACTTCTTTGAGTAGTCATTATTTTTAACCACCAGGTCGCGTATTATTTAACTTTAACATAGATTAAACATACATTTGTATTTAATCTATAACTTGAATAGCATTTTAGCTTGTATATCACAAATATGATGTTGTTGATTAATGCACTTTCTATTTGAAGCGTGTTAAAAAATGTAAATAATCCATCGTTTAATTTATAATATGGAGAATACATATTATTTATTGTATAATCACAAAACAGACTTAAACAACAATAACATTCTTACAAAATTAACAAAGAGGTAATAATATATTATATATTATATATATATATATATATTCAGAAACAATTTTTTAAATTTTGTCATTAAAAATTTTAGTAATTTTCATATTTTAAAATAAAATCTAAAAATAATTCAGGCATATAGAATTTGTAACGAAACATAATGTTATCAAACAGCAAACGATTTTAATTTAATATTTTGACTGTTATTTTAATAATCAACAGTTTTTCAACACACAATAAAAAAAAAACCCAGTCCAGTGAGGTCGCGGCATAGTGGGGACGTTGCATAGTTGGGTCCAGTATAAATTTAATCTGACAATGATTAAAATCGCTATCATAAGAAATGCTTCGATGCAAATCTGTAGATAGTGTTTAATTTAAAAAAAATTGATGGATAATTACAAAAGCAATTAAAACAACATCAACTATTTCATTAATTATATCTTTTTTTTTTAGATTAGTAATTCTTTTAATTATATATTATATCATTTTTAAAATCAATTGTTTTCAAATTATAATTGATTTTGATTTTTAATATTTTAAAAGTAATCATTTTTAACCTACTTTTTTTTGTCCTTTAAAGTGAAAGTTTTAATAAAAAAAAAAATGAATTTATTACCATAACTTTTAGCTCAACTTGCAAGTTTGAAATTGACATTATTGCAACATGTTACAAAAAAATTTGGAATATTATAGACTGGTAGTAGCACACACAAATAGAGTTAAAAAATTAACGAATTACAATATAAAATTATTTACTTCTGTAGTTGAATACTTTTATCATATCAAATTTAATTCGACAATAATTACTTTAAGAATATTAGAAATTAATGATTTTAATTGTTTGTATGGAAAAAGCTGGTTAAGCTACTTTTTATTTGAATAAGGAATATTTTTTCGATTTTTAAGAGTAATAATTTAAATTAAATACAAATTGTAATCATTTGACGTATCGTTGAAAAAAGTAGGTCTACTAAGGGTTGGCAAAATGAATCGTAGCCACAAAAAGAAGTACATAGTAAAATAATATTAACATGAATATAAATTTTTTCTCACGAGGGGAGACTATAATCACTATAGGATCCTTTATATTTATTGAATCTAAATGAGATAAATATCAAATGATTTAAAAATTTTATTCTATCTCAAAAAAAATGCAAAATATTAATTAGTGCAGATGGATTCGAACCTCGTACCCTTAGCGTGAAAGTCACAAGTGTTACCGATTCTGCAACTGTTCGTTGCTCTGATTGCAAGAAAAACATGGCTATTTAAGCCAACTCAAACTTAAAAATTACTTTTTCGACTTTAAAAAAGTCAAAAAATTTAATAAGTTTAATATCTTGTCTTATGAATTTTATTCTATGTCAATTAAATTATATAATATTCATGAAAGTCAGTGTACACCCCTAATAAGATATTTTAAAATAAAATAAAATACAAAACCCAGAATTTTAATACATAAATAGCATATTTTTGAATACGGTAGCCATTTGCGCATAGAAGATAGGTCATCGGGACAAATTTTTTTTTTAAATTTTATAGTACATGACATAAGCTTTAATATGATATATGTTTAAAGAACGCAGTATTTCCGGAACATTTTCAAAAGTTAAGTTGAAAAGTTAGTTTTTGTAAAAGAAGTAGCTATTTTAAATCCCCCCTGTGAGCAGAATAAGTGTTAGATTTTCAAAAAAAAAATGATATTAAATAAAAGGAAATTACCTAAGGTTTCAATATAAAAAAATATTATTTTGATTTGTTAATATTTGAAAAAGTTATGGCAGTTTTAAGTACAAAAATCATGCCGATAGAAGGTGATTTTTATCGAAAACATTACATTTTTTTTTAAATTTCGTCAGCCATTTGCACATAGAAAATAAGGTGTCGGGACAAAAAAAGGTATAGCATTTTTAAGTTGAAAATTTAAAAATTTAACACAAAAATAGCGTTTTTTTAACTACGGCAGTCGTTTGCATGCAGAATTTTAGGTCGTCTGGTCAAATTTTTTTTTTCATTTGACACATTCATATAGAAGGTGATTTTTATTGCAAATATTACATTTTTTTTTAAATTTTGCAAGCAATTTGCACATAGTAGATAAGATGTCGGGGCAAATTTTTTTTTTCATTTTGCATTACATAAAATAAGCTTTAATTTGGTATATGTATAAAGGACGCAGTATTTCCGGAACATTTTCAAAAATTAAGTTGAAAAAGTTAGTTTTTATAAAAAAGTTGCTATTTTAAATCCCTCCCAGTGAGCAGGTTAAGTGTTAAATTTTCAAAGAAATGATATAAAATGAAAGGGAAATAGCTAAGGTTTTAGTATAAAAAAAAATTATGTTGGTTTTTGAAAAAGTTACGGAAGTTTTAGGAAAAAAAAGTGAAAAAAAATGACAAAATTTACCGATTTTTAAATTTGTAATTTTTTTGGAGATTTCCCCCATTTGCGGGAAACGAGGAAAAATTTTTTAAACTTTTAAGGATAATGTCTTCAACTAGATACTATTTTTATCTTTTGACGTATTGTTGAAAGAAATCGGTCCAGTGAGAGCTGAGAAAAAGTAGTGACAGACACAAAAAAAAAAAAACACATCATGGTAAAATTAATACCTTTTTAGCTTCTCATCGAAGCTAAAAAAAGATTTTTAGATCATGGCATGAAAAACAAAATTTTTTCGTAATTATTAATTTTATATTTAGCTCCGTTATTTAATACTTTTCAGGGGAGTTTCAAATTACCCTAATACACATTTTTTTTTGCATGTAATGAAGTTATATTATAATAATCTGTATATATATATATATATAATATGTACATATGTAATAATGTGAAAGCTCGTAATATATTCAACCTTTTTTACATGAATAATTTATAACTATCTAATACTGATAATTAACATTGATATTTTGTTTATTAAACAAAATATAAATCGAGTGGACTGTATTTTATTTAAGAATTTTACGAAAAATGCATAATGCATTATATAAGCTTTATCAAAATAAATACTAGACATAAACTGTGCTTTATGATAGAATTAAAAAAATAACAAATATTTATCATAGCAACTAATTTCTAAACTAAGGAGTCATGCATAAATTTGTTTCAAACAAATATGAACTTTAATGGATGGTAAAATAAAAAAACTAGCAAAAAATACTACATAAAAATATATATTTATTTTTTTAATAAAACATTAGGGACAAAATATCTTTGTAATGATATTCCAGACATATGATAATATTTCTAGTAACTGAAAAATATAAAATAAAAACTAAAGTAAAATTTAAAGTTTTTTACCATTATAATATTTTTTAACAAAATAATTAAATTAAAATTAAAAGCGTTAAATTGTTTAAATTAATCAAAATAAATAATTAATACCCAAATTCTTGATCAGAGCCCTCCTCATCATCATCGTCATCTATAAAATTTATAACATGTATCATAATTTTTTTGAATTTAATTAAATAATTTATTTTAATTTAAAACTTACAAGTTTCTTTTTTATTTCGACGAGTGTAAGCTCTACGAGATGTTACAGGACCTGGTTCTGCATCACCATGCATTAAGCTATTTCTATAAATTACCCAAGGTTGCCAGTCTTCACTGCGACTTGATGGTACAGCTGATGTTATGTGTTTATCTAAGTAATTAAGGCTAAAAAAAAAAGATTAGTAAAATAATAATAGGACAGTTTTTTTTGTAATTCACTAACACAATGCGTTTATCTTGCTTTAACAGTTTATTAGTAAACTCAGCAAGTATTTCCAAAAAAGCAACATGAGGTGGTGGTACAGAAGGATCTTCTTGAACTATACCTTCATCTGTACCTACAGCAAATAATACACCTTCACGGTGTAAAGCTGCCATTGCTTCACGATTTTTTAATGCATCTAAACCAAATGATAATGCAAATCTTTTGGCTAATTCCTGGTCAATAAAAGTAATGAGTAAATCAATTTTAAGAAATTTATCTTAAATATATTCAAGCACCTTTAAGCTACTGAATTCTTGAGAAGTACGAGATATTCGAAATGTACCACAAGTCATTTGTAGTTCTTTAAATGATGTGATAAGGCTGACTACCATAGTTCTAGCACAAATTACTTTGTTAATCTCACGTGCTTTGCCAATAGTTGTTTTGATTATGTCACCATATTCATTATAAGACTAAAAATAGTTATTATATGTAAGATACATAAAAATAATCAAAGAAAAGTTAAAATTTATTTTATTTTATTTTTCCTATGATAACTTTTTTCCTTACTTTTACATAATGTTTAAAAATATCAGCAGCACACGTTACAGGAATCATTCCATACACAATAAGCTTGCAGTAAGAAGCTAAGAAGTTTCTTCTTTTGTGAAGTTCTTCAATTTTTGAGTGTTCATCCTGAGCTCCTAAAGTTTGATTAAAAAAGTTATAAAAAAGAACATAATCAACACAAAATACAGTTATTACCTTCTTCTTCATAAACAAATACATTTTTTTGAATAAAATTATTTAACAAATCTTGTAGTTCTTTGTCAGAATCATAAACTAAACTTCCTAACATAGAGTTATTTTTGACTCCCAATTGATTACAAAATACCACTAGTAAGTCACAAATTGATATATATGCCTAAAAAAAAATTAATTAAAGAATATTTATATATATATGAAAGTAATGATATACAAACTTCTTCTTTAAACTGAGGATTTGTTGAGTGAGCTAGTATTCCTCGTAAGACATCCATGAACTCATATAATTTATTTTTTACTTGCATTACTTGATCTTCAATATTTTCATTCCGCCCATTTTCAATAACACTTTCTATACTATGCAAATCCCACATTGTAGCAAACATACATGCAGAAATACTATACTTGATTGCCTTTTTCAGAAAAAAATTAAGGATTTAAATTTATTTTTCATGTTTATAATAGAAAAATTACTTCTTCAGGTAACGGTTTAGTTCCTTCATGTGCCATTTTCAAATCTTTAAATATTATATCCCATAGGTTCCATGGACCTAAGTTATGACAAGAATAAAAAATTGAAAGTTTCTTCATACTATTGACTACATTGTAAATTTCATCATCATCAGGTTTTTCATTCTGTGAAGAAATTATTAACAAATTTTTAGAAATTATAATTAAAAATTATATCGTCATGAGAAACAAATAAGGCTGTAAATAACTCAAAAAATTCAATTTTGAAATTATGAGGTATTTAGTTTAATGTTTTACTCTTCCTAAAATAACTCTTATCAAAATATTGATAATATTGTTTGACTACTAAATTAAACTACATAGAAAATTGATAAACATATAGTGTAATCAGAGAATAAATTTTATTTTTGATTTCTTCAAAAAAAAAAAAAAAAAAAAAAGTGAGTGCTATTTTTTCTCTAGAATAAATTATCTCATCTTCTTAAAACTATAAACCATATATCATTTTCAGCTTCAGTCCAGCATTATAAAATTAATTTTTTATGAGATAAAAATATTTTTATTACAAAATACACTTAATGTTCCTTGTGTTAATACTTATGATAGGCCACTAATGTCAACTACTATTTTTATTTAATTTAATTCATTTGTAAAAAAAAAATCATTACCCCTTCAATAAGATTATTCCAATCATCCATAGCCTCTCTGTGTTTATTTGTAATAGTATCCATTAAAGTACTCTTTTGTACACTACATCTAGTAGCAAGAGTAGAATTATTTTTTGAACAGAGTATTTCTAACGTTTTAGCACAAGTTTCTAGTACTTCATCATTTTGATGTTTATCAGTGACTAAATGAATTTTTTTCAGCAACAAGTCCAAGTTCTAAAAAAAATTGAGATATTGTAAACATTCTAATTGAAATGGCTTTTAAGATTTTGAATAAACATTTAACAACAGAAAATAATATTTAAGATCATCTATCCGTAATTAAAATAAAAATATGACAATATAATACTTACAGATTCTTGTCTTGAAGTAGTATATATATCTAGATCAAAATATTGTGGAATTGAAAGCAAGTTAATCAGTTTATCAGCATCTGCTCTATACTTGTCAATCAATGGTGGCAATACTTTAATAAAGTGTTCAGTCAAACGTTGTTTATCATCTTGTACTGTTTTAACTTCTTTAACAGACATCATCTACAAAATAATTAACATTATATTTCTTATACATAATAAAGAATATAAAAAATAACTCAATGAAAAATCATTACTAATTACTTTTCTATTAGGGCCACGACCAACAGGTGCTTCTCCAGTGGCTGCTTGTTTAATGCAGCATACCATTAACTCAATTAAGCTAGTTTCTTGTCTGTCATCCATCCGTTCTTCATTAAGACCAGGTTCTTCTAGTAGTAAATCTGTCATACATTCCCAATCTTTCATCATTTCATTAGAATCAATTAGTGAATCAACCAAGTAAGCTCCATGTTCATGTAACTTTAATGATATATTAATGTATATTAAAATATTAACCATAATTACAAAATAAAAAGACTATCCAATTAAAAAAAAGTAGCATAAGGTGAAAGTTCTGTAAAAATATTGAATTACAAATAAATAAATCAAAGACTAAATATATGGTAATATCTAGACAAGAAGATCTTGGAGAACATCTAGAAGTTGAAAATTATAGATTTGAAAGAGTACCCAACTTCAAATATCTGGGAATCACAATTAATATCACAAATAATAACCATAAAGAAATTAAAATAAGAGCAGCCGAAAATAAGCGATATTACAGTCTAGTGAAAATCTTCAAGTCAAAACAAGTGTCACTCAAATTAAAAACTACATCACACACATCATTAGACCAGCTGTGTTGTACCTGTAAGAACTTGGCCAACAACCAAAGAAAGTTATAAAAAAAATCTCTTGAAAGAAAAATACTAAGGAGAATAACAGCTCAAATAATAATAATATATTGCAACAATATGAGATAAGAAACAGTTAGTTTCTTATCTCTTTTATTTCTTAAAAATTCATGAAAAAATAAAAATAATTTTTTTATTGGCTTCCTTTAGTATAATGTTTCTCTTAATTTATTAGCCATATAATATTTTTTATTTTCATCCCTTATACCTTATAAGAGTGTCAACATTAATTTCTCAGATGGCAACACACATAATTTAATATATAATGATTTAAGTAAGAAAATGACTGGTCATTCCTTATATCTTGTGGTAAAAGATGTCAACTTTTGGATCAGTTTTTTTTTAGAACTTATTGATAAGTTTATATCTAGACGTGACAGCTGAGAAATGACTAGATATAAAAAAAACAGCATCCACTCTTCACCAACAGTCATTACTTTAAATTGTTAATAACTTTTGAAATATTGATCAAAAATTTCTTATCAACCAGTCCATTTTCTTAATTACATCACTTTCTAATAAAACAGCTAATTAATTATTTGTGTTCCCATTTGAAAAATTAGAGTGTGCACTCATATAATGTATAAGGGATGAATATAAAAAATACATTATGATTGATGAGTTGAGAAAAATATTGAACTAAAAGAAACCAATAACAAAATTATTAATATTATTTTTATTTTTTTATTTACTAAGTGGTTCATAAAAGTGAATTACTCTGAATATATAAATTATTAACTCTATGATTTAATAATAATAATTAGCTACTTTTATATAAAAATACTATTTATTATATAATTTACTTCAGACTCAATGAAAAATTGAACTAAATCTCTTATTAAAGGTGTATTTGGTAAACGTTTCTTTCCTCGTTTAGTTCTAATGGTTTTCATATCTTCTTCAGGCTTAAATAAACGTTCATTTAAAAACTCTCCAGCAGCTTGAGCAACAGCCCGATGAGATGAGTATACAAGTTCATAAACATGTTCACAATCTTTGTCAGATAATATATCACGATGATGTCTAGAAAAAAAAATGTTCATATAGGACAAGACAGTAAAACTAAATTTATTTTATTTAACATACTTTAAAATGCTTATGACTAATCGAACAGCTTGAACAGCAACGTCATACTCTTTATCTAATGTCATTGCAACAATTCTATCCTTAAATTTGCTAGTGAAAAGCTCTAATTTACTTTTAAGTTCTTCAGATGCATACAAAGGTTGTAAAGCCTATAAAGTAGTGTTATTAATATTTTTATTATAATTATATAATGTATAATTACAATAAAATTATAATTATATAAATAAAAAAGCACCTTAAAAACATAAAATAATTTTATTTATTTAATATTAGGAGTTAAACAAAATTTACCTGAAGACATTTTAAACGAACTTCACCAACTTTGTCGTGTAAAGTCCATCCAATATATTTCAAATAAGAATCATCCAAAAAATTTTGATGAAATTTTTTCATCCACACTCCAATTTCTGCCATGCATATAGCTCTTATTTCAGGCAATGTGTCTCTATAATATTTTCCTTAATTAATAATCAATATAGTATTATTATTTAAGTATTAAAATATACCTATATCTGTGAACAAAAACTGATTTAAACATGTATGTTAACATATTTTTAATTTCATCCATATTTTCTTCAAGTTCTTGTCTTTTAGACATCAGTGTTTCTAGTCGATCACTTGCTCTTTTATCTCGAGCTTTCTGACGTTCTGCTTCATACTGACGTTGAGTATTATCAAGATTAACAGACACAATTAATGCAACATCCACCAATGCTGTCATTAATTTCATAGCTTTCCCAAAAGATAGTATAATTAATAAAAATTCCAGTTATAATATATATGTTAAACATTAATTATTTTTTAAATGTGGAATAGAATAAAAGAAATGTGGGGGTACAGCAAAAGTGATGCAAGACAATTTTTGGGTAAAATGAATTTGAACTGAAAATAAGATTTTCAAATTTACCTCTTTCTTAGCGTCAATGATAGATATTAAATTAAGTTATAAGGTAATATTATTGTATTTACAAAATCTAAATTTATATTAGCCCTTATGGAATTAACACACTAATGTTAACTAGTCAATAAACAATTATGGAATATTGTTTTTTTAGATACGAGTATTTGAACATTTATACAAGGAAAGGTGTGAATTAAATTATAGCTGAATTCCTTTATTAAAATAAAAAAAAAATTATATTAACTTTAAAATTTAAAAACGAACCAATTATAAATTTCTATTTCACTCTTTGAGTAACTGCATTAATATAATTACAGTAATTTAATTACTATTAAATTTTTGATAGGCAATTCTCAAAACTAATAGTGTAATATACTAAAGAAATCATACTATATAAATACACACCTGCAAGTGTAGCTGTATGTCTAAAAGCTCTAACTTGTGAATCTGACAGTCCAGTTAAAAGGGAAATCATATTGTCCATAAGATATTGATCATAAATGATAGAGTACTGACACTGTTTTACTAATTGAGCAACAAAATCACAAAAATTTGAACGAAATTTTTTCCATTGAATACCACTCATTATGAGTGGATACTCTCCACTTTCCTATCAATAAAATAAGAAATTTAAGTTAAAAATAAAAAAAAAATCAATAAATTTACTTCATCAAATTCTTCAGTCATTTTCCTTATAATTGCTGCATGTTCCATATTTTCTGTCATTGATGAAGTAATAACACCTTTACATCCAGCAGCATTTATAAAAAACTGCATCAAAACAAGAAGGGCTTCATCTTTATTAATTTTATATTGTTCAATCCAGTCATCAACAACAACCTTAAAATTAAATTTTACACTAAAGAATATTATTTAATTAATAATGACTATACATAAATTTATAGTTGCAAACAAATTTAAATTTCACTAAAATTAATATTATAGTTATTATATTTAATATAATTAAACAATATGAAAAGTGTTTCTGTATTTAATGTAATTCTAAAAGGTCTAAATCAATTATTTTTTTAGAGTGAATTATTGTTGAAATGATATAATAAAATCTATTTATAATTTTTAATCTCAGTTTACTAACAGGTAGTCTTTTTTGTGTGAAACTAATTTCAAACTGTTATCATTATTTTGTTGGTCCATCTTGTCTTATTGTTAACAGTCTAAATTTAACAATTATTCATTTAATATGCACTTAAATTTTACTCAATTTTAGGAATATTTGTTCAAGATAATTTTAGTACATTTTATCAATATTATCCAAGAGATATATTAGAAATATATTCTACTGCAGCTCAACACTGAGAGTTATCTAGCGCATTCATAATTAATTCTTAAATATGCAATTACAAAATTTTTCATAATTTACAGTCATGATATTTTTGTTCTTTCAATGAGTTCACTTAAGTATTCATAGAAATATTTTGTATAGATATTTTTATGTTATACAGCAATTCAAAATTTTTGGGGTGCTAAGAATCCATTTCATCTACTTGTGGCTCTAACCTAAACAAGGATTGAGACCTGTGGATCAACAAATTTTAAAAAAATGAGTAGCCACATATTTTTTATAAAATGATCTGCCCTCCCTAAAAACTTCTGTTTACTGTGGTATGATATAATGACAATATGTCAATGGTTTTCACTTAAGTGAATCTCAGTAATTTAGTTTCTTACTTATTCCTTATACTTTCCTTATAATTATTTACCATAACTAATGGTTAGTTTTTCTTTACTTTTTGTATATTACTTATATTTTTATATTGAATTTTATAATTATTTCTTTTTATAAATGTTCTTCTTTTTTCTCACCTTAATCCCAACTACTTAGAATCAGTCATTCTTATCCTAAACTTCCACTTAACACAATCTCCCACATCATCTACACTCACATCAGCTGTCCTCATATAGCATTCAATAGCATCTCTCCATTTCTTTTTTGGTATTCCTATACCTCTTCTTCCTACAACATTAATTTCTGTAACTGTTCTTACAGCTTCCGATTCCTCTCTCCTCATAACATGACCAAACCATCCAAGCATATTTTCTTTCATTTTATCTACTATTGACATTACACCTATACTTCCTCTTATATGTTAGTTCCTTATCCTATGTTTTCTAGTCACTACACTCATCCATCTAAGCATTCTCATCTCTGCTACACTCTACTTTTTGCACTACTTTCTTATCAACCGCCTAACACTCTGAACCATACATCATAGCTAGCCTCACTACAGTCTTAAAGAGTTTACCTTTCAGCCTAATTGGAATTCTTTTATCGTATAAGATGCCAAACGTTTTTCTCCACTTCAACAACCCCTACTTAATCCTGCGTCTTACATCCTCGTCAATACCACCGCTCTTTTACACAACTGACCCTAAATATTATTGATATTAATGGCGGAACTGAAATAAAAGTTTTTAATTGTGCTATTTTATAATACCAAATTATTTTATTTATTTGGTTGAATGTAGGTAAATTTTAGGCACACAATTCTTATAAAAATAAGGATCTCCTTGTGAAAGTTCACAACCATTTTATTTTCAGCCATGTTTGAATGTCTCGTTACATTAACCAAATAAGCCCACTTTTGAACATTTTGTCACGAGAAACAAAAAAAAATTATTTTACTTTTACATATAACAAAATAATACTTATTTTATTATTCTAACTCATTAGCAAATTGCCCAAAATTATTGTCTGTATAAACACACATAACTATGGGTACATCTTCTCAATTTCTTCTTCCTTGCATTAATCACAACTACTTGGGGTCGGCCACTCTTATCTTAAACTTCCACTTGACACGATCTCCCTGTCCTCATATCGCATTTAATAGCATCCTTCCATCTCTTTTTTGGTCTTTCTTTGCCTTTTCTTCCTTCAACATTAATTTCTATAACTGTTCTTATAGCTTCCGACTCCTCTCTCCTCATAACATGACCAAACCATCCAAGCATATTTTCTTTCATTTTATCTACTATTGACATTACACCTGTACGTTTTTCTCCACTTCAACCACCCACACTTAATCCTGCGTCTTACATCCTCGTCAATACCACTGCTCTTTTACACAACTGACCCTAAATACTTAAAACTTTTCAGCTCTCCAATCACGTCTTCATCTATTATCACTGATCTCTTCATTTCACCTACCTCGTTTTCTCCTTTGTCAAACTCGTACTCTATATACTCTGTCTTACTTCTACATATTCCTAAACCCTTTTCTTCAAGAGCCGATCTCTAGATCTCCAGTCCTTTTCTCTCTTACTTTTGCTAGTCTATAGATTTCTTTCTCGTCTTCCTTTGTTTGTAGCCTATCATGCAACTCATCATACCTCTTAAACTTCCCCTTACTGGCCGCACACTTGGTTTCTTTATACCAACGTTTATACTCCATCCAATCTTCTTTCCTTTTGCTCTTTTGCCATACTTTGAATTCCTTTTTTTTACTTTCTATGATTTTTTGAACGTTCTCGTCACACCACTCAGTTCTTTTTTTCCTTACATTTAATTCTCACCAACAGTCTCCTTTATAGTATTCTTTACACAACTAGTAAATCTATTCCACACATCATTTATGTCCTCCTTGACATTCCACATCATCCTCTTATTTACCATCTTTAAAAACTATTTTCATTTTCCCCCTTTCAATTTTCATCACCGGATCTTCCATTTTTCTTGTTTGTTTGCCAATTTGTTTTTATAAATATAAGACTTGAATAACTTAACCTACTTATAGTTATATATAGAAACGTATATTGTAAAATATTTTACGCTTTTTACTAACAATAGAAATTTTTGAATTTTTAAAAATTAATAATCAGCCCAAAATCTCTAAATTATAATATCTAATACATCTTAACTACCAACCAACTATAAAGTTTAATGTAAAAAAAAATTATAATAATACTAAGAGTGCTATGCTGATATTAAGCTTTAATAAAATAATGAGAATTTTAAATAATATAAAAAATAAGGAGAAAACATTTTTTCCACTATTTACGTATCAATATGGTTTGATACAGATTCTTAGTACAATAAAAAATTTCTAAATATTCATAATATTAACATACTTGTAGAGAAACACGACCATTTCTAATGGTTCCATACAGAGTTCCATCATTTTCTAATTGTATATCAACTAATGGTACTTGAACTACTTGCTTTTTAGATCCAGGGGGTCTACCAGGTGGTCTACCTGGTCTACGTTTTTCAGGTTTTTTTTCTGGTGGAGGTGATGGAGATAAAGTAACATTTCTTTGAGGTGGATATGTTACTCCTTAATATAAAATATTTTTATTTTAATGAATAAATAAATAAAATTATTCAACAAAAATAGACTAAAATATGTTATTTCCTAAAAAATTAATAAATGTGTATTATGTAATAATACATTATTAGAACTAATTGTAGGAGAAAGCTATCAATTCATTTGCCAAGGACTCTAAGCATGCAAAAATAAAAAGCAAAAGAAGGTCTCTTTTAATAAAAAAAATGTAAAGAATTCTGATATGACGTTTTTTTGCAAAATTGTCACGCAATATTTAGCACCAGCATTATACAATATGATTCTGCTGCAATCATAGTTCAATTAAGATTAACATGGGTCTTTTTGGTAAGAAAAATTTTACTTATCATATTTTTTTTAGAATTTTATAAAACTATTATTATTTTAACAGATAAATCTGTTTTATTGCACCCCTCATGTCAAAAGTGTAAAAAAATTACCAATTAAAATAATATCCATTATTACCTCTTAATACTCTCCTATATGTATGGTTCACATATTTAATTAATAAAAAAAATTATTTTGGTAGAATCTATTAAATTAAAACATTCATAAATTTTGAATTACTTTAGTTTTTTCAAATTTACATAAAATAAAAACCTTTCAGAACATAAACAATAGTATTACTATTTAAATAAACTATTTTTCACATTGTTTTAAATAAAATTATTTTTTAGTCTAGATGTAAGATATATAGACAATTTTAGTAAAATTTATAATAAATTATATCAACTTTTTCATTTATTTGGTTTCATTTGTATCAATTTTTAATAGATACAAATGATTAAACACTAAATTTGCCATTTAATTATTAATAAAAAAACTAAATAATATTATTCAACAGGAAAACTGCATCCTAATCATTTGTATCATATTAACAATAATGAATCAAAGTAAAGATACATTTTAGTGTATTTCTGGTCTAAAAAGGTTATGTAAATCAAATATGAGACGACAATCTCAGTATATTTATTTAAGCAATATAATAATTTTTTTAGTTTATCATATTATTTGTTGCAAATCTTATATTAATATTGGAATGAAATAATAATAAACCTCTAGTTCTTGCTCTTGTCATTCGAACATTGCCTATTTGATCATCATTACCACTTGTAGAAGGTATTTGATTTTCTAATTGTAAATTGGACATTGCATCATGAACAGGCATTTGATGTTGTATATTTAATTCATCATGGATAGATGGTGAATGTGATGCACCATATGTCATAATAGATTGTGGTTGGTGCAATATTTGAGATTGATCATAATTATTTTCTGCAGGTTCATGATACTGCTCCAAACCAAAAACTTCCGATCTTAAGAAAAAAAAGAAAAAATTGGAAAATCAAGTTATAACATAGATGAGTTAACTTTTAAATAATTAAACATAACAATAGGGTTGAAATGAATCACATTATTATGTTTTATTTGTTAAATATTTTCTTTCATTAAGTAAAAAAAATGTCTATTTTATAAAAGTACAATTACCTTGGTGTTTGAACATTATGATAATTGGCATATGGATTATAATGTTCTTGGTAATCAGATCTACTAGGTGTCATTGGACTTGGATGTATAGAGCTTCCAGGAGTTTCTGGGATATCATAATCCATTGGAGGTGGATCATCCATACGAATTCTCTTTCCAATACTACGATGCATCATAATTTTTTCCTAAAAATATTTCATTTATGACTATAACAAAAGCCTAAGTTTATAAATAATTAAATAATGAATTTTAACAATAAAATATTGTAATAATTAGAAATAAACATGAAGAAATCTTTTTAAAGTTATGTAAAATTATAAATATCAACAGTTTTGTTACTATTACAAAAAAAAAAAAAAAATTTAATAGTTTAATTTTTATACAAGTATATTTTCATCATTATACCTAATTAATATCATCTAAATTATTTAAATAAATCTGTCCAAAAAAAATTGGCGCTAAATTCCAATTTTTTACATAAAGTATAACTAAAATATACGTACTTCTAAATATTGCCAACAAATGTAGTTTGTATTAACTTATGAAAAATTGTTATGGACTTAATTAATATTAAATTCTCATTATGATTTAAGAATTTTTTAAATAACATAAATACTTAAGACATATTTTTAATTTGAATATAGATATCTGTATTGAAATGTATACAAAAACAATCTAATCAAATTTAAATTGATTTAATATTTTTGTTTACGGGTAAGCAACACATGACCCACTAGATACATAGAATTATTTCTACAAAAGGTTAAATGAATCAAAAAAATATTTATCAGGTTTTCATAGAAATGCGACATAATACAATCTTACAATTATTACCCCAAGTTATAAATTACGAGTAAGTGAACCACTAAAGGGGTAGGATTTAGACCCGTCAACACGGTTTAGTTCAAAAGCAGTAGACTGAAGGGTGGCTCTTCGTCAGCCTCCAGTAAAACTACTTTTTTACTATACCTACTAAAGGACGGTTAGCCCAAAAACTAGACAGCACACTAATTGTTAAGATCTATTAAAGACCAGTAGTCCAACCTTAACTAAGCCACACATACACTCACAATTTTTATAGCACGGTGGATATAAAGTATTAACATTAAATGTATTTATTTACGAAATGTAATTAATACGAAATCAAAATACAATATAATATACAATATCCATGCTATCAATTTTCGATTTTAAATTTTGAAATTAAAAAATTTGTTTTCTACAGTAAAAATCAAACTATTTTGATGTACAAATCATACTATTTGACCAAAAATTAAATAACAGGGGTCATTTTTTTTGGATATTTTCGGTCAAAATACTATAACTTTTAATCTCAAATTTTCATAAAATACCTATTTTAATGTATGTAATAAAGTTAAAATGGTCTCATTAAAATTTCGATGATCGACTTTATTTGATCCAATCTAATATTTATGTATCGATACTTGGGTAAAATAGGGTAATTTTTAGTATAGTACTTTTTAATTACGACTTTTTATTTTAATTACTTTTTAATTAATTATTTAAAAAAAAACGACTCAAAAAATAATCTATTTTATTAAAAAGATAATTTCTAATAACATTATAAGTCAAAAAAATTTTTTTTCAAAATTTTTTTTTACATATGTTTGACCACTATTTTTAATAAAATTTAAAAAAAAGTTGATAACGAAAGACGTTTATAAATTGAAATCACCATAAAATAACAACATTTATACTTTAAATAAATTTAAATAGTGAACGGTTTAATATGTAACTTTGAAACTTTATATTTTGTCTAAGCAAACCTCTAGAATTAAATTTTCATTATTATTTTATTATTTTGAGTACATTTCAAGATGGGACTTGGGAGCGCTTAAAATTCTCTTTTCACTAACTCAAATATATTGTTGCTTAAAATTTCGAGTAAAATATTATTATTGCCTTTTAAAATCTATACTCGTATAATTAACATTAATAATATGAGCTCAGCTATTAATTGCGCTTGATTGAAATGAGATCGTTGACTGCATACACAAAGAGGGGAATGGGGTATATATTAAAGCCAGTAGATATGTATGTTTTAAAGTGTATTTATATACTAATTTAGATGCCGTTGTATAGGAATAGTGAATAATTTTAGTCAGGACCCTATATTCAATTTTATTCTTGTTAAAATAATATAGTCGAATTATAGTAACGTTGATAAATAAACGTGTAACATAATGTTATACTCTACTAATATCATGCAGTATTTGCCGAACGTTTGTTTAGCTACAGTCATTTTCGTCCAATATATTTTGCTGTACGGTTTATATGAATATATACGTGAAGTTGATCATAAATGTTCAATAAAATCGTTAACAATTCCTCGATTACGCAGAGAAGTTAATACTGCTGAAAATTCTGTTTCGTCTTCTATCTCAATTAATGGGTTCAAAAATGAAGAAGATAGTGAAAACGTAGAATTTATCAATCCAAATTTACGACCAATAGTAGAAAAAGAGACTAAAGATAAAAAATCTGATGCAACGTTCAATGGAACAAGAGAAGAATGGTATTGGTTGAACGCTTATTCTAGAATACCCGTATGTATAAATTAAAATGTATTGAAATAACAATAAATTCAGTTGTTAACATAAATTTTTGGTTCAAAAAATATTTAAATAAGAGTACGTAATTAAATAAACGTTATAGTTAGAATTCTGGACTTGAAAATAAACTCTCCAAAGAGTTCGAAACGTTAGCAAAAAACTGAAAACATGAATATATCTATACACATTTTAAACAATACAACAATCGATGAAAGTTTTAACACACACATATTTATTCATTTTAAGTTTAAACTTACTTTAAAATCTATTTTTTTAATATTCTTTATGTTCCTTTTTTTCAATTATGAGTTTTATCATAAAGGTAGCCGCTTTGCAAGGTTTTTGCGCTTCAACAAGAGATTATTGTCCGCCGGGCAAAGAAGGTCCTATAGGTCCACGTGGAGAACCCGGTCCAAAGGGTGCACCTGGGTCTAAAGGTAAGCATTTAACACTATTATTATTAGAAAAAAGAAGAAGTAATCATTGACTTAGTCTTTAATAAAGGATTAATAGAATTACTTAGATCAATAGATCTGAGAGTATAATCTGTGTCTATACCTATTAATAAAATAATAAAATGCATATCAGTTCCGAATTAGGATATTTTTTAAAAGAGTTATACAAATAAATTTTAGAATGTAGAGTTTACATTCTCTAAATTTTGCATTTGTAATGAATTTTTATATTTATATTTTAATGTATCGAAATCTATATTAGGAGATCAAGGCGAAAGGGGACCGATTGGTGTTGAAGGACCGCGAGGTCCAACAGGATTAACAGGGCCGGTCAGTACAAATACATTATAAGTAGACTCAAAACTATTTTCATACAACTTTATTTAGTTCATTGAAAAAAAAATATTGTGGTTCATTTTAGATTGGCCCAAAAGGTCAAAAAGGAGACACTGGTAAACCAGGAAATTCGGGTAAGAATTGAAATTTTTTTATTTAAAAATTAAATTGTGTTATATGTTTCCAGAAAAGAGTTGTACTAGAATGTATGGAAATAAATTAACTCTTAGGTCAATAAAATGTTATAGATATCTATTTTTAAGGGTTGGATGGTCGTGACGGTATACCTGGAGAACCTGGATTGGATGGAGTACCCGGAAAAAATGGTCTTGATGGTAAGTATCCTGAAAAATGGTAAAACAGAGACATCATCTACACTCATATCAGTCGTCCTCATATTCTTTTCTTCGAGAGATCACCACACCTTTAACCTTTGATTCATTGCCCCCTATTTTCTCCTATTAATACTATGAGTTTTTAATTTAATATTAAATGATATTTGAATTCTTGACAAAACTTTATTTGCATATTATATACAAAACTTTAAAGTTTTAAATTTTGAATTAATATACATGAATACACGAATGATTACAAAGATAGATAGCTAATTGGTTTTTTATGACGTCGATATTCGCAAATTCGCAGCATTTATTATCTATGACAGTAAGGCACATTCTTTATAAATACACTAACTGGGAATATAAAAAGCATATAAATTAATAGTCATAATTGACAATATTCCGTGATTGTGATAACAATAAATTTTTAGGTTCACTTTAAACTAAAAATCTACTCAACTGAGCGTATTGTAAAAATTTATTGTAATTGGAAAAATCCATTGTTAAATTCAGGTAAAACCCAAAATACTTTTTTTAAATTTTAATCTTAACTTGCTCAAAGTGAGGGATTCAAAATAGCAGCTTTTTCACAAATAGTCAATTTTTTCAATTTAACTTTTGAAAATGTTCCGGAAATACTGTATCCTTTAAATATATACCAAATAAAAGCTTATGTCATGTACTATAAAATTTAAAAAATTTGTCCCGACGACTTATCTTCTATCAGAAAATGGCCATTGAATTTAACAAAAAATGTCATTTTTATGTAAAAATCACTGTTAAACATGAAATATTTTAATACTTAAAACTGTCATAACTTTTTCAAAAATTAACAAATCAACATAATTTTTTCTTTTATTTGAAACCTTAGATATTTTTCTTTCATTTAATATAATTTTTAACACTTAACCTGCCCACAGGGGAGGATTTAAAAAAGAAATTTTTGCACATAAGTTAAGCTTTTTCAATTTAATTTTTGAAAATATTCCTGAAATATTAACATTTTTAATTAATCTTAAATTAAAGCTTATATTATATACTTTACTATGAAAAAAAAAAATCGAAATACAGATTTTCTTCTTGGTGAAAATGGCTATCGTATTCAAAAATATGCTATTTTTGTGTTAAAATTCTGAGTTTTGTATTTCATTTTATTTTAAAATATCTTACAAGGGGAATACACTGACTTTCATGAATATTATATAATTTAATTAACATAGAATAAAGTTCATAAGACATAAGAAGTTAAACTTATTTAAATTTTTTTGCTTTTTTAAAATCGAAAATGTAATTTTTAAATTTGAATCAGCTTAAATTGTTAATATTATCACCTAATGAAAGCGACGGACAGTTGCCGAATAAGTAATACTTGTGTCTTTCACGCTTAGGGTCGAGGTTCGAATTTTTTTTTTAGTTAAAAAAGATGTTGAAATCATTTGATTTTTATCTCATTTAGATTCAATAACTTCAATAAATATCAAGGATCCCATCACTATAGTTTCCCTTCGTGAGAAGAAATTTATATTTAATTTATAAACATTACCCTTCAAAATTGAAAAAATTTCCCACGTTCCCCGTAAATGGGGGAAACCTCCAAAAAAATTACAAATTTAAAAATCGCTAATTTTCGAAATTTTTTCAATTTTTTTTACTAAAAACTGCCGTAACTATTTAAAAATGAACATATCAATATAATTTTTTTTTATATAGATGCTTGATGTCTTTATCTATCATTTGGTATATTTTTTTTGTAAATCTGACACTTAACCTGCCCACAGGGGGGGATTTAAAATGACAACTTTTTCACAAAAAATTAACTTTTTCAACTTAACTTTTGAAAATGTTCCGGAAGGTCTGACACTTTTATATATATCTTAAATTAAAGCTAATGTAATGTACTTTAATTTGAAAAAAAAAAATTTGACCTCTGGACTTGTCTTCATGGTGAAAACGGCTACCGAATGCTATTTTTGTGTGAAAATTTTCGATTTTATAATTTACATTTTTTACTTTAAAGTGCTATAACTTTTTAAAAAATGTATGGATCAATACAATTTTTTCATGAGAAGTAGTATTTATATACATCTTTCATTGGATATACTTTTTTTTTAAATCAGACTATTTCCCTATATATGGGGGGGCTTCAAATATAAAAAATGCATATAGAAAATAGAACTTTTTCAACTTAACTTTTGAAAGTGTTCCGGAAGGTCTGACACTTTTATATATATCTTAAATTAAAGCTTATGTAATATACTTTAATTTGAAAAAAAAAAATTTGACCTCTGGACTTGTCTTCGTGGTGAAAGTTGACATCAAAGTTAATAAAAAATTACGATTTTTGTAAAATAATTTTTTTTTATATTTTTAACTTAATAATGCTCTAACTTTTTGAAAGATGTATGGATCAATATAATTCTTTTTTTTATAAATGCATCATGTCTTTACTTATCATTTGGTATATTTTTTTTGTAAATCTGATACTTAACCTGCCCACAGGGGGGGATTTAAAATGACAACTTTTTCACAACAAATTTACTTTTTCAACTTAACTTTTGAAAATGTTCCGGAAGGTCTGACACTTTTATATATATCTTAAATTAAAGCTAATGTAATATACTTTAATTTGAAAAAAAAAAATTTGACCTCTGGACTTGTCTTCACGGCGAAAATGGCTACCGAATGCTATTTTCGTGTGAAAATTCTCGATTTTATTATTCATATTATATTTAACTTTATAATGCTATAACTTATTGAAAAGTTTATGGATCCACACAATTTTTTTATGAGAAATAATATTTTTTAATAAACCCTTTTTCATTCGACATACTTTATCTTAATCGAGATATTAATAAGGAACCAGCAGATCAAGTAGCTTTTGGAATAAAACACCAATTTTTTTAAAATTAAACACTATCTAAAGATTTGCATCGAAGCGTTTATTTTTGATAGTGATTTTAATCACTGTCAGATATCATTATACTTGATCCAACTATGCCACGTCACCACTGTGCCGCGACCCCCCTGTGCTGGGTTTTTTGTTAACATGTTGTTACTATATAAATAATAAATCTAAAAAAAAATGATTTTTAGTTTCACCTGAATTTGACGATGGATTTTTACAATTATAATCAAATATTGTAATATGTTCAATTAAGTAAATCTTTTTAACAACTTTTTTTTTATTGGTTTTTTAGTTAAAGTAAATCATTACAATTAATTAAGTTCTACATTTTTCCATAGTAGAAACATTTTAAACACCAAAAGTTAATTAGAAATGATTACTATAACTTTTATTTAAGTGATCTATTACGATAAAAATGCAAAAAAAATTGAACTTTTCTGATAAATTTACTGTAAATAGTAATTATAAAATTTGCTGATTGCATATTAATCTTAACAATTTCATTTTTTTCTATTTAATGATGTCAATTTCAAACTTGTAAGTTGAGCTAAAAGTTATGGTAAAAAATTAATTTTTTTTTTTATTATAAACTTTCACTTTAAAGGAAAAAAAACCAGCACAGTGGGATTGTGACATAGTGGAGACGTATCATAGTTGGGTCCAGTATAGATTTAATCTGACAGTGATTAAAATCACTATAAAAAAAACGTTTCGATGCAAATCTGTAGATAATTATTAATTCTAAGAAATTGGTGGATAATTACAAAAGCAACATCAACTATTTCATTAATTATATCCAGATTAGTAATTCTTAGATTCAAAAATATAATATAAAATTATATATTATATAATTGTTATATTGAATTATTTTCAAATTATTATATATATTGATTTTTAATATGTTAAAAGTAATAATTTTTAANTTTAATTGCTTTTTTAATTATCCACCAATTTCTTAGAATTAAACATTATCTACAGATTTGCATCGAAACGTTTTTTTGATAGTGATTTTAATCACTGTCAGATTAAATCTATACTGGATCCAACTATGCCTCGTCCCCACTGTGGCGCGATCCCACTGTGCTGGTTTTTTTTTAATTATATAATATTTAAGACATTAAAATATTATAATGTATATATGTATATTAAGGTATAGCCGGTAAAGACGGATCACCGGGTTTGGATGCTACTTGCTTTAATGGTACAGATGGGAAACCGGGAGACATTGGACCTATAGGCCCCCCTGGTCCTATTGGCCCTAAAGGTAATAAAAATTTATTAAAATTAAATTATCTATTTTGTCAAATAATTCTGTATATGTTTTTTATGTACTAAAATAGTTTATTTATACTCAATTTAGGATTAACTGGTCCAAAAGGTCGACCAGGAAGACCAGGCATCGATGGGTTACCCGGAAAACCAGGTCTTAGCGCTTATAATTATTCTTTAAATGGCGTACCTACTTCTGAATTTTTGGTAGCACCAACTATAGTTGGACAGTCAGACTTAAAAAATATAACAGTAAATGAAGGTGATAATCTAAGACTACGTTGTGTAGTTACTGGAAAACCTACACCAATAGTTAAATGGCACAAACTTGATACTTCAACAATACCAATGGGTTCATGGAAAGGTGATGTCGCAAATTATAAATAAAAAAAGAAATTGTGTTTTATTTTAGATATAGAATTAAAAAGAATTCATTCGTAACCTATAAAATATATTTTAATAGAAAGCAATGAACAATGTTTAAAACTTTTATTAAAAAAATGTAGAGTATTAAAATATTAATATCATTATGGAGGTATATTTGTGAATCGTCATTAATTAAAGTTTAGCCGATTTGAAATATTAGACGTTTAAAATATGTGCCCTGGGGCAACTGCCTTTTATTTAGATATGCAACTCGTTAAATGATCTTTCTTCTTCTTTTTCTTTCTCCTCGCCTTAATCCCAACTACTTGGGGTCGGCCACCTTTATCCTACTTCCACTTGACACGATCTCTCACATCACCTACGTTCACATCAGCCGTCCTCATATTGCATACAAAAACTGCGTACATCCGAGATAGGACAATGCGCCTAAGTTTTGTTCAAGACTGCTCATACTTTTTAACAACAATTTTACGCCGGCTATCGATCTAACGCAACCTTATTAGTCGCCTCTTACGAAAAGCAGAGAGGTCGTGGAAGTATTCTTATTCCTTATCCACAGTGGTTTCACTAGTTAAATGAACCTATTGAAAAAATATTTATTTATCTATTTTAAGATTAATTTAAATCAGTAAGTAGAAGTAAAACCTTTTCGACTTATTACTCCGTCAGATAACAGAAATTAGCTTTCTTTATTCATTATAACCATCATCATCATGTAACTTCACAATTTTATATGAGTTTTGGCTGCCAATGTCATCAACCTTCAATAATTACAATTCTATATTCTTTCCTATAAATTCGTTACTTCCAGTCTAAATCCTTTTACTCTTTACATAATTTGTTATATAAGATTATATCTTTACAGTATAATTTTTTTTTGTTAACTATTTTCGTTATCCCCCTTTTATTACGTTTATAATCGCATTGGCTTTATTTGAAATTTAAATCAAATAAAAAATTATAGTATTTTACTTTAATTATTCTAAATATTTACTTTATAGAGGAATCTGTTTCTGGTCATTCAATTAATATAACCAAAATTAATAGACTTCATATGGGACGATATAAATGTGTTGCTGAAAATGGAATTGGCCCAGCTGCAATTCAAAATTTCCTAATAGAAACTCATTGTAAGTATATGTAGAAACTAAATACAGCTTAAAATTAAATTCACTAATTACCAGCTATGTAATCAACAATTTATATTTAATAGATCAAAACACATATTTAATTAAATTTCGTCAATGAACATAAATCATACAATTTATATAGTCGTCAATATTGGAGATTTTTAAAGAAATGTTATAATTCTAAATACTTACATTTTAATGTAAAATTGAATTTTTTGTATTTATAATCTAATTAGAAATATTTTGCAAAAAAAAAAAAAGAGAATTTTACAACAGTAAATTTGAGTATTGGACATTCTTGGATATAAAATTTGATTCTCTTAAACTGAATAATGTATTTTATTTAATATATAAAATAATTTCTAGATTTAATTTAATGATTCAAAAAAAATACTCTACCCGAGTATCATTGTAATCGAAAATTATAATAATTTTAATACCCTAATATTTTTACTAAATATTATTTTTTTTTACTAAAGAATAGGACTATTTTAGCTAAAAATTTAACAAATATCTACCCATAGGAGATTGTTGGTGAGAGTAAGAGTAGAATGCCAGGAAACAAGAAAACCTGGTGGTGAGATAAAAAAATCATAGAAAGTAAAAAAAAGGAATTCGAAGTATGGCAAAAGAGCAAAAGGAAAGAAGATTGGATGGAGTATAAACTTTGGTATAAAGAAACCAAGTATGCGGCCAGTAAGGGGAAGTTTAAGAGGTATGATGAGTTGTATGATAGGCTACAAACAAAGGAAGACGAGAAAGAAATCTATAGACTAGCAAAAGTAAGAGAGAAAAGATCTAAAAATTATTATTATATAAGGTGTATAAAAAGTATTGATAATACGGTAATCTCGAGTGACGATGATGTGAAAAAAAGGTGGAAAGAGTATTTTGAAAAGATACAGAATGGGGAGTACCCAAAAGACACATCAGAGGATATCTCGTGGAATTAGGGACTAGTAGATTTAATTAGTGAGAAAGAAGTATTAGAGGCTGTGGCATTAATGAAAAACAATAAAGCAGTGGGACCAGATGAAGTGCCAGTAGAAGTATGGGAAATATTAGGCGGTATTGGCATAAGATGGTTGAAGGAACTTTAAAATAAAATCTAATTAGGAGAAACAATTCCAAATGAATGGAGGAATAGTATAGTGGTGCCGACATTTAAAGGTAGACGTGTCATACAGGAGTTTGGGAATTATAGAGATATAAAGCTTATGAGTCATAGTATGAAAATTTGAGAAAAAGTAATAGATAAGAGGATAAGAAATGAGACATCGGTATCTAAAATCCAGTTTGGTTACCAGTTTGCATGGTAAGTCAACAATGGAGCCAGTATTTTGTATGAGGCAACTAATAGAAAAGTTTAGGGAAAAGAAGAAAAAACTGTGTATGATATTAGTCGATTTGAAGAAAGCATATTATAGAGTACCGAGAGAGGTTTTAAAGTGTGCATTAATGAGAAAAGTTACATTAATAAAATATATGTATGATGACATTTATGCCAGGGGAATAGCAGGAAGTCCTAGCAGTAGGAGGAGTAACAGAAGGTTTTAGAGTAAGAGTAGGAGTGCACCAAGGTTCTACTTTTAGTCCTTACTTATTCTCTAAAGTGATGGATAAAATTACTAGAAAAATATAAGGAGAGGTACCGTGATGTAAGTTGTTCATTGACAATATAGTGTTAATTGAAGACAATAGGGAAGAACTTAATCAAAGACTGGAGTTCTATAGATCAGCTCTTGAAGAAAAGGGTTTAAGAATAAGTAGAAGTAAGACAGAGTATATAGAGTACGAGTTTGACAAAGGAGAAAACGAGGTAGGTGAAATGAAGAGATCAGTGATAATAGACGAAGACGTGATTGAAGTGCTGGAAAGTTTTAAGTATTTAGGGTCAGTTGTGTAAAAGAGCAGTGGTATTGACGAGGATGTAAGACGCAGGATTAAGTGTGGGTGGTTGAAGTGGAGAAAAACGTACAGGTGTAATGTCAATAGTAGATAAAATGAAAGAAAATATGCTTGGATGGTTTGGTCATGTTATGAGGAGAGAGGAGTCGGAAGCTATAAGAACAGTTATATAAATTAATGTTGAAGGAAGAAAAGGCAAAGAAAGACCAAAAAAGAGATGGAAGGATTCTATTAAATGCTATATGAGGACAGGGAGATCGTGTCAAGTGGAAGTTTAAGATAAGAGTGGCCGACCCCAAGTAGTTGTGATTNAGAAGGATGCTATTAAATGCTATATGAGGACAGGGAGATCGTGTCAAGTGGAAGTTTAAGATAAGAGTGGCCGACCCCAAGTAGTTGTGATTAATGCAAGGAAGAAGAAATTGAGAAGATGTACCCATAGTTATGTGTGTTTATACAGACAATAATTTTGGGCAATTTGCTAATGAGTTAGAATAATAAAATAAGTATTATTTTGTTATATGTAAAAGTAAAATAATTTTTTTTTGTTTCTCGTGACAAAATGTTCAAAAGTGGGCTTATTTGGTTAATGTAACGAGACATTCAAACATGGCTGAAAATAAAATGGTTGTGAACTTACACAAGGAGATCCTTATTTTTATAAGAATTGTGTGCCTAAAATTTACCTACATTCAACCAAATAAATAAAATAATTTGGTATTATAAAATAGCACAATTAAAAACTTTTATTTCAGTTCCGCCATTAATATCAATAACAAATCAACATATAGCATCTGCACTTTATCGTACTACATTTTTTGAATGTGAAGTAGAAGCATTTCCATACGCTATTCACTATTGGGAACGTAATGGTGAAATACTTGAAAATAACGAAAACTATGCTATTAGTCGAATTGATGTACCCAATTACAGTTATAAATTTAAAATGCAATTAAATATAACATCTGTAAATATCAATGACAATGGTACATACTACTGCGTGAGCAAGAATGAGGAAGGTGTCACGGCAGGAAACATAACATTATATAGTAAGATGTGCAGAAATTATAACTATTTTTTAATTCCATTTTGAACTTGATAGGTTAAATTTTTAAATAAAAATATCTTTTACCTCTAATAATCAAAAAAATTTCTCTCAATTTATTTATAAATTATTACCTAAAATATCTATAAAATTAACAAATAATTAAATTTTATTTATATTATAAAATTAAATAAGTGATCTTTTACTTAATTAAAGTTGGTTCATAACAGATAGTTATCTTTCATTTGATATACTTTTTTTTTTAAATCCGACCATTACCTAAAATTTTAACATAGTTATATGGTACAATACATTTTTTTTTTTATTTGACAATGTTCCGGAAAAATTTAGGCTTCAAAACTATATTATATTATAGCTCATACAACTTACCTACCAGCTATAAAAATTAAAAAAAAAATCAAGAGAGATGTAAAATATTATTAGTAAAATTTGTGAATTTTATCATTGAGTATTTTTCAAATTTTCTTCGCAAGGTATTGCTTATAATATGGGCGTACTAAAGATACGGAGATTCTTCTCCACAAAAAAAAATCTCAAATCAAATGTTACCAAATTTTCTTTATGCGCTTTTGCATCAAAGAGTTTGTTGTGGTAATTATTATAATAGCAATCAAATTTCAATCTATACTTTTTTTGCATAGATTGTATGAACATTTCAAAGAGAGTGTAATTCTGTCTCTCCGTTTCACTGTGTACTGACTGCATTAAATTGTTGATACAGTTTTATTTTTGAACTAAACGGTTTCATTTAGTGGGACTTCGAAGTATGAATTTGTTACTATCAGTTCCTGTTGTCTACAAAACTTTAACAATCTTGTCCCTCTTTTATTTCTCTTCCCTAGTCCATATTTTCCTGGGAAGTTACTTCTTTCACAGCCTATTGAGGCGTTAAAATCGCCTATGATAAATACTTTTGAGTTGCAAAAGTTCTTCAATCTGTTCGTATGTCTCTTCAATTTCTTCATCCGTACATCTAGATGTAGGGAAGCACACTCGTATAATGTAAATATTTGTAGGCTTTGCTTCTATTTTCACTATAAAAAATCTGTCATTTTGGTGGTACGAGTTGAGTACATTGTCTTTCCACTTCCTCCGTAATATCACTGCCATTCCGTTCTTACTCTTTTCTCATTTCCACTATGAATGATTCTAAATCGTCTGTTAAAATAGTAATAGTAAGAGTTTTAAAATTAGACCGTTGAAGTCTATAATAAAATTTTTGACAAATACAAAGAACAATTAAATAATTTTGCTGTTTACTATTTTTTGAATATTAATTGAACGAATAACTCGAAAATAGATTTAAATTTGACGAGACTGAGTATTTCTCCAATAAAAATGTTTCTTAATTATATATTAGAACTACAAATCAAGAACCCCTCCATATAAAGTATAATGGTTTGTTTTAAATTGTGTTCTCAAACTTATTTAACGAATAACCGTAGATCGTTCTACGGGAAAACGATTATTGAACATATTAAGTTTAAACGTTCTTTTTATATTATACTTTACTGAACAAATGAATAAAAACATTAATTGATTTTTATGATGAAACTTGGGCGTCTTAAAAAATAACAACATCGTTTTTGTCTAACATGAAAGAATAAGGTGCAGCATCAGATAAAAATAATAGTACATTGTCGTGTTTGATTCCAGCTGGCCATAATAACTCATCAATCCGACAAAAAGTTTGCTAATTTTGAAGTGGTTAGCTTTTTTTAATATATCGAATTTAGTAAAAAAATGTTGCCTGTGCAACTTTCATCGAAAATACCTGCTATTACATTCGCAATGTAACGACCCTCTACATCAGTCATCTCATTGATACTGACCCAAATTTTATTGTCTAAAATAGTTTTTTTTATATCGTTTATAATATCGTTATAAAATTCGTCTACATATCATTTTCGCAACGTGGATTCGCTCGGAATTTCATTTTTTGTATACATTTCCAAAAATGTTTTTAATTTTCGGTTTTCTATTTTATTTAAAGGAATGTTAGCGGGAATAAGAGCCTCACACAAATATTTGTTGAATGATGATTTTCTATTATTTGTCTTTTTCAATAACTTGCCGTTTTCAATTAATTTGATTTTTATATCGAACAAAGCCTTTTATATGTTTGTCACATTTTAAATGTTGTGATACATTGAATTTTTTGTCGGAATTAACTTCAATTTCTAAAACATTGTATTACATATAAAACTAACATAGTTGGTTATATTGGTCATTATGTTTAGGATTTTTAAAAATTTGAAATTTGTATAAAAAGTAGAACTTTTTCAACTTAACTTTTGAAAATGTTCCAGGAGTACTACTTCTTTTTAATATATGTTGAAATATAGCTTATTTTATGTACTAGAAGTTCAAAAATAAAAAATTTGTACCAACGACCTATTTTCTAAGTGTAAATAGTAGTCAAAGTAGAAAAAAAAAATTGAAGTTAATTTTGCTTTTATAACTAATAATCCACCAATTTCTTAGAATTCCACACTATCTAGAGATTTTCACTAAAGCGTTTCTTATAATAGTGATTTTAATCACTGTTAGATATCATCTATACTTGTCCCAACTATGTTACGTCCATACTGTGTTACCGTTTTTTTAAAAATCGAAAGAAAATTTTTTTTAAATTAACAATGACATGTAGCGAGATTTTAATATTTTCTTTTAAACATAATTTATATTTGAACATATAATAGTAATAATTTAATTTAAAATTATTTTTTAGTAATTGATCCAACATTAGTGACACCACCCCCTTACATTGATCCAAACAACAAGGTAAAGTTTGGGAAAATTCCTCCTGATCTAATAGGAGTGGATGATATTTGTCCACCTATAACAATTTGCCCGACTTGTCAAAAAACAAAAGAAACTAAAGAATGTAGAGAAGAGTTAACCGTGGATGATTTGTTAGGTCATCAACCATTAGCTATATATCAACTTTTAATAAAATCTGTAAAAGGTCTTGCAAATCGAACTTTAGGTAGTAATTATTTATATTGTACATAATACAACTATAGTCATTTATTACCATAATAACCTAAAGATATATGTCTGTATTTATAGATTGTCAAGTATATCAAGTTGGAAAACCAGTTTATAATAGATATTCAAATGCTACATATGGAAGTTGGATGAAAGATCCCTCTCCCAAAACTTCTAATGACACAATTTGGATGACTGTAGAAGATCAAAAAAGGACACTCATAGAGTTTTCCAATAAATCAGCTTTTAAAACGAACTTAAAAACAAAGCAATACGATTTAAATGCAGAATTTCACGTAAATATTCTTTAAGAGTATGTAAAAATTAATTTTTCTTATAAAAACATCAAACTAGGGTAACGGTCACGTCATTTACCGTGGTTCTTTTTATTTTCACGAGAAAAATACTCCAACAATTCGAAAATATGATCTTCGCGAAGAAAATCTTTCCGGATCTTCATTAAAGTTACCTTATCTGAACGCTACAAATCCAAAAAATCTATTATACACATCCAAGTACGATACCAATCTTTATAGCCAGAGCCTGATTTACAATACAATTATCTTTTATAGATATCTAAAAACATTACTAGATATATGATATTAATGTAATATTAATATTAATATTAATGTATTAAAGATGGTTTCAATAAGAATTTTTTTTGTAAAATTAGTTTTATTTTAATCGGTGCTTATTATCCGAGTTGAACTAAATTATGCAGAGTCAGATAACTCGTATAATCTGGATTACGCAGTTATTTTAGATAGTGCATTATTCATAATATGATTATCCAATAAAAGTACTAATACAAATAAACTTAATTTGTAATTCATATTTAAATTGTAATTTAATTCGTAACTTAATATGATTAGTCCCAATAACTTGCTTCATAATTACACATTAAATCAGGCTCTCTTAAAAATATTTAACACAGATGCCAGCTGCATAGGATAGAAAATTTTATATTTTCACAGAATTAACTACGTAGATATGGCAGTAGATGAAAATGGCCTGTGGGCTATTTATGGTTTGGAAGATTCAAATAATACAGCAGTCATACATTTTAATCCAGATGATATGTCCATCCGGTATGGTTGGAATATAAGCTTAAAACATGAACGGGCGGGAGATATGTTCATTGTATGTGGTGTACTTTATGCGGTACATAGTGTTACTGAAAGAAACACAACTATAAGGTTCGTTATATTATACAAGATGATTTATTAATTATGAACTATTTAATTAATAAAAAAGTAAAAATTATATTAAGAATTTTTATTTGCTTTTATTTGATACACGTTTTTCTATATTTAATAATCATAAGGTATTTTTTTATGCTTATCCCTGTGTGTCAACTTAATTTTCTCAAATGATAACATGTATATTTAATTTATTTAATGTAATTGATTTAACATATTATGTTTTTATACATTATAACTGAGGGTGTCAACTTTATTTTTTTAATAACGTGATACATACTATTTTATATAATAGAATATGATCAATTAGAAAAATGACTGATGTGTAACACTTTCGACGAGTATTTAGGAAGATACGAGAATTTTAATATTTAGGTAGGAGAAATAACGCAGCAGAATGAAATTTGCATCTCACCTCTAATCTGCATTTAAAAATGTTAATAACTTTCGAAATACTGGTTCAATAGTTATTATCAACCAATAATTTTCTTAATAAGATAATTATCTGTTAAATAAGCCAAATAATTGTGTATGTATATCATCATATATTCAAGGCAATGTCTTGCCGTTGAAGCCACTCCTGTCTGTTTGACGCTAAATTCTTTAGTAAAACAAAAGACGTATAGTTTATGAGATCCAGGATATGTTCAAAATATTGTTTTCTTGGGCGTCCTTTTGGTTTCTTCCCAGTTATTTTTCCTTCGAAGATGTTGATTATAAAGTCAATGTGTCTGATGATGTGTCCGATTAACTATATTTTTCTTGATTCAATCACTTTCATCAGCTGTCTTTCATGTCGTACATCTTCTAGCACTTGCTTATTTCTTTACTTGTCTATCTATTTTGTCTTTGACATTTTTCTCCATATCCATAACTTTAATGCTTCTAGTTTGTTTCTGTCTTTCTTGTCAATTGTCCATGTTTTACTTCCATATGAAAGCACACTCCAGACAATTGTTAACAAATGTTTTACGCATTATAATGCTCAGATGTTTATTCGCGAGAAGCTGATTCTTGTAATGGAATGCTTCCTCTCCCAATGCTATTTTTCTACTGATGTCTGGTGTTAATTTGTTATTGGATGCTATGATACTTTCAAGTTAGTACAATTCTCGGACCTGTACATGTGTATATATAGAAATGAAAAAATACTCTATAATTGATAAATTCAGAAATATATGTATCTAAAAGAAGCAAAATAATATTCTCAATATTGTTTTTATTTTTAGACTAATCAAGTGGTTCCACGATATATGAATCAACCTATAGAATGAATATTAATTGCATTGTAATAATTTTATTTCTTTTATAATATTTTATTTAAATTTAGGTTTGCATTGGATTTATACAAAAATATTCGTTTAAATGATGTCGATCTATCTTTCACTAACCCATTTGCTCATACATTATTGGTACAGTATAACTCATTGAGTAAAGAGTTATTCACTTGGGATCAGGGTAATTTATTGACATACCCAATTAGATACAATGATATGGGCAGCAACAATACAAATAGTGATCCAAATATAGAAATGAGTTTTGTGACTGGCATAGACTTCTTTATTTAATATTTAAGAGATTTTTATAAAATTAAGACAAATGTTTTATAACCACTTAATAATTAAATGTACGTTTTTTGAGAAATAAAATATATTGTACTCTATGGTATTTGAAAAAAGCAAACATAAATAAATAATATATAACAAACTACATTTTTTTTATAATAAGAATTGATTAATCGTGGCTAATATTAATTAAAATTAAAAATATATTTAAAATATTTATTAATATTAAAAATGTTAAAAAAAAAAAAATAAAAAACATGTAACTCAAAAAGCTTCAAAAATTACTAAACAATTTCGTATACGTATTTTGTGAATAATATTTGCATCACCATCGCATTTCTAAAGTTAAATAATTTACGGAGGAACGGGATGAGCATTAGGCCCTAGCAGGCCTTGATTGGTTAGATGAGCTATCGATAAAATCTCAGTGGGCTTGTTTAATTAGGAACGTGTCATTGATATTCTAACTTATCATTAATGTCCGGTAGTAATATAGCCTCCTGGGCCTTTTTGAATCATTAACAAAAAAACTAACACAATAAGTTCAATCCTAGATATCAAATTTGAAAAGTTTGAATTTGAATTGTTGTCAATGTTAAATAGATTCTGCGGCAACTATTATTATCAAAATTTTAAAAACTAGAAGCGTTATTTTGAAGGAACTGGTCGGCTTTGTACGGTTCGTCGATAGGGGAAGTAAAATGAATAGTCTGTCTATTTCTAGGGTTATTTAAGTTTTTTTTTATGTCCGCACCCAGAGAAAAATCTCGATCTATATAATAAATTCATTGTTCAATTTGATAAATATATCATTACTATTGAATCAATGATATATTTATCAATATGATATTCTTTTTTCTTGTCTTGAACAATAATTATTTATAAGAATAGTTATTTTGTTCGTATTAATAAAACATTATCATAAACCCTTGATAAAATTTCTCTTTCAATTTTGATTGAGGTTTTTCTTTGGGTGTATCTATAAAAATTTTCAGCTTTTACTGTACCGATTTTGTTGGCTTATACAGCAAAAGAACCAGATTTTAACCTAACTGAATCAATCAATGCCAAAAATTTGAAAAATCCGTTAATTTTATAAATTAAAAAAATATTATAAAATTACACTTCTGTAAAATTTTTTTTTGCATTTTAAAACTGTTTTAACCATTTTTATACTTTGATCATAATGAAATTTCAACAGAATATACTAGAAACAACAAGCTTTATTTGGTATTCTTTTTATAATAATCCAATTAAAAACCAAGTACATGAAAGATTTTGAATAAGACCTTTCCGCATGTAAGGTTTTTTTCATTTCAATTTTTGAAAATGCTCGAGAACGTCTAAAAATCTAAAACTTATATCAAATTAAAGCTTTTTAAGTGTCCTTTATGACGAGAAAAAAAAAGAAAAACGTCACAACAATATTTTTTTATGAGTTATTTGTCTTAAAAATTCACTATTTGTTATCCAGCGGAATCCTACTAAGTGGTTGGACCAGGAATTGCTACGAAACTTTAATAATTAAAACTGAACGGGGCAAAATTTAAAGCCTTTGCTTTTAAATGTCAACAGGGATCCCAATTCATAATAAACTTGCTAATGCTCTAGTAAACGAAGTGTATGTAATAGATATATTGATTAATATTATGCCGTAATTATTAGGTCTAGGGAGAAGCCTATTTGGTATTAATGGCGTAATTACGCTAGTGCTTGACTAAAACTATCAGCAATAAATTTTCTCCCTTTATGATATTTTTCCGTGTTTTTAGTCAGGAATTAAAATCACTATTATGAAATAATAAAATTGTGGTTTTATCATGAAACATATTTTTCAATACTTATATATTAAACATAAAGGATCAGTTAGCATTTTTCGAAAATGCATTTTATTGCATGAATAGAAAGCGTTATAGTTTAATAAAAACATAATATCAGTCTGAAATGGATTTGAGTCATGGCTACCAAAATAATAAATTGATGAAGGTGTTTTTAGAAAATTTTACCATTATAATTTAGTTATAAAACTAAAATTTCTTAATAATTTCAAAAATATCAGTTAACATCTTAATCCACTGATACCTTTAATTATATGGTATTACTAAATTTCATCTAGTTTATTACCTAGAATGTAATATGCTTAATTATAGGACATCAAAAGTAATTTAATACAGTTAAGTTAATAGCTTTTCATATTATTATTAAAACTAATATGATACTAGATTTAATATTCATAAATTATTTGTTTATAGCTATAAAATAAATTATTTATTTCCCAATTGAACAATTAGCCAAGATAATAGGTATAATATTTTTACTTTAAATGTGTCCATCATGTTGTTGTAAATATTACTAAAAGTTAGGGTCTAGTTCGGTTACTTAATTGACAGGTCGTGTAAAAGATTAATGTCGACCTAAAAAAAAAAGTTTTGCCACCCTTTCTACCTACTCCTTAAAATAGTAATTGAATTTACTTACATTTAGTCAAGAATTATTAAAAAAATATACCAAATGATAGGTAAAGATATCAAAAAATATTATATTGATTTGTTCATTTTTGAAAAAGTTATGGCAGTTTTAAGTAAAATAAATTGAAAAAATTTCGAAAATTAGCGAATTTTAAATTTGTAATTTTTTTGGAGGTTTCCCCCATTTACGGGGAACAAGGGAAATTTGTTCAATTTTTGAGGGTAATGTCTTCGACTAGATACGATTTGTTATCTTTTGACGTATCGTTGAAAGAATTCGGTGCGGTGAGATCTGAGAAAAAATGGTAACAGACACAAAAAAAAAAAAAAAAAACACATCATAGTAAAACCAATACCTTCTCAGCTTCGCATCAAAGCTAAAAATAAGATAGTATATTTGAGATTTGCGAGTAATAATTTTGATGGAGCAAATACTCATTTGGACCTATGTTGACACAACTTGTTAATTAACGGAAAGTATACATTTTTCAACATATGATGTGATCGTTGTTTGAAACATTGTTTGATCAATAATCATAGATTAATACTCTAAGAACTTCGCTATCAAGTCTTGCAGCTAAGGCGTTTACTGCACTCGAGTTGGTATATATAAACGAGTACGCTATCTAGTAAATTATAAATGTACACTTAACGCAAACGATAACAAACAAAGCCAAAGATAACAAAATATGTCGTTTCTACGCAATGAATTACAGAAACGGGGACGAAGGGAATGTTTATCGTAAATAGTCGTTCGTTGAATAGCTATTGGATGTTTATTATTGTTTTGTTGATTGGTGAAATTTTCCCATCCGCCAATTTTGGTTGGACGCAACTTTTTAGCGGCAAATCAATCTCGTTTGATTATTGTGAAATTAAACTTCACTCATTGTTTGTTTACTATGTCGGTTTATTTAGTAAATCCGTAAGTAATTATTTTGTATTGCTCGTATTGCGACTTTATTATTATAGTATATTTTAGGAGTACTGAAGAAGAAGAGGAAGATAACCCAACCGAAGAAGGATCGAATGCCATTACTATTTCAGTAGAAGACAATCCAACTTGTAATGTGGCGGCTTTGCATCAGTTTTGGCCTAAAGTAACTGAAGATATAAGGAAAATAGGAACTGTTAGTTGTTAATATTTATTTATATTTAAAGCAAAATACTTACATAATTAATCGAATATATTTATTTAATTTTTAGTTAGATTTAAAAACTCAATCATTACCATTAGCTAGAATTAAAAAAGTAATGAAATTGGATGAGAATGTTAAAATGATTAGTGCTGAAGCACCTATGTTGTTTTCAAAAGCTGCAGAAATATTTATCAATGAATTAACATTACGTGCATGGATACATACTGAGGATAATAGACGTAGAACATTACAAAGAAATGATATTGCCATGGCTATTACTAAATATGATCAATTTGATTTTCTTATTGACATAGTACCTAGAGAAGAAGCAAAAATTGTTACTAAAAGTATAAATGATAATAAGACTAATTTGAATCCTGAACAGGTAAAAGAATAATTATACTTTTAATTGTGCTTTGTTATCTCATAAATTAATATTTATTTTTTGTAGGTTCAATACTACTTTCAATTAGCTCAACAACAACAACAACAAGCTAGTTCTCAGTCTACTACGAATGCTGCACAAACTATACAAATTTTACAGCCTGTTACTAATCAACTTGTAACATTAAGTGGAGGATCACAGGACCAAGTTAACATAGAAAATGTATGTTTACACAATAATGATATTATACTATTATGATTATTGTAAATAAAATTAGATTAAGTAGACAAATTTACATGAAAGTGTTTTTTTTACAGATTGGTAATAGTACTTCAAATATTACAACTAATACATCTACAACAGTTTCTGGTAGTCAGCCACAAGTGATACAACTTCAAGGTAACCCACAAACTCTTAATTCTAATGGAACTGGTGTACTTCAATTAGTACAACAAGTTATTACACCATCTGGTGAAATACAACATATTCCTGTAAGTAAATTTAGTAACTATGATAACAATATAAAAGTATTTTTAATAAAAAAAGAAAATATATCAAACAAAATGTTAAGATATTTTAAATTAATATTTGACTCAGCAAATGAGAGATCCAATAGATACAAAAAAATAATTTAGGGGTCTCTTTCATAACAAAATTAATATTTTATGTAGGAGACAAGTACATTTTTATTTATAAATATATTTGAATTAAATTTGTGTTTTGATTGATACATTTGTTATTGGTCATTATAAATCTATATGTAATTATAAATAATTCAAGTTATTGAGACTAATTTTATAATATTATATTTTAAATTGACTTAATACTTTAACTTATGTAAGATATATTACGTGTATTATCTTCATTATTTTTCATGAATCAGTAAAAGTATTTTTTTTGAGTATCAAAACAATATATTCATCTATCATTTATATTCTAGAAAAATTATTTGATACAGACTGTCCCATAAAGTTCTGACATCTTTAATGTTTTTTGATTCAGCAATTATTATTCATTATTTTATTTATTTTTTTAATTATTGTTTAAATATTACAATAACTAGATCATATTATTCAATTTATTTTAAAGAATAAAAATTTTAAATTGCTATTTTATAGGGATTTTAAGGCATTTTAGTAAAATAGCAAAATCATAGTTTAATGATTGTAATTTTTGTTACTACAGCATTTTAAAATTAAAATATTTATTTTAATTTATTTTACGGTATCAAAAATTGGTAAGAAAACAATAAATGTAAAATATATTTTCACATTAAATACTGTTAAAGTTATATAAAAGTACACGTGATTTACTACAATGAAATATTTTAATTAAATTAAAATTATTTAGTTGTTTCTTTTGATTTTATTAAAAATCAAATCATTTATTTATTTGTTATGTAATTCAATTAAAGATTTTGATTCAGTAGCTAAGTTGAAATTTTCTGTTATTATTGATTTGACCAAAAAATACCTATTTTGTATATATATATATAAATATTTGCATGAAAATGTTTTAAATTGTACTATTGTTGAAATACAAACAGTTATTTGTATTTTAAGATTTTGTATACTATTTGCCCATTAAGGTTTTTTTTAAATAAAATGATAATATCATTAAAAAATTAAAAATCAAATTTTAACATTTTTACTGTAAATTACTGTAAATAAAATAATAAATAATGAACCTAGAGTTATTAAGGCATTTTAAAATGTAAAGATTTTTATGATTTTGTGTAGAATTTTTAAAATTTGATTGAAATCTATGAATTTAATCAATTATACAATTTATTGTATTAACAATGTATAGATTGTATAACTTAAATAAAAAAAAATCAATGTTCTATTAAGGTTTTATCAAGGATGGGCTAGAGGCTCAAATTTCTATTGCCAATTAGTTTTATGTATATAATCCATTAATAACTATAACTAGTAGTACAGCTTGTATGTTAGAATTAGTGTATTTAATGCTAACTTTGAAAAACTTACAATAAACATTAATATTTAAAAATTTTAGATTCAACTAAATTCAAATCAAATGCAAATGCTTCGTATGCAAGTACAAAATTCTCCTCAAACTCAACAAGTGCAAGTAGTTCAAACAGCTCAACCACAAATTATACAAGTAAATATTTTTCTTTTTTTAAGGTTGTGTAGGTAATTTATTTTTTAATTATCCTATTAATATTTTTATAAGACTTATTTACTAAATGGATTATAATTATTGCAATAAAAATTGTTACAGGTGGCTTCTCAAGCTAATGGACCAACTCCTGTTTATATATCTCAATCAACTGTAAACCCAACATCTAGTTCAGAATAATTAATTGTAAATAAAATGTTTAAACTTGTGAATAAAAATCAATGAAATATAATTAGTTATTTATAGAAATAAAAGAATGTTATTGTAAATTATTAAATGATCAATTAGAAACACAGAAAGAAATAATAACTATTTTTGTATAATAATGTAATCACTGTTATCATATTCATTATCAACAATATTAAACTGATAATCAAGTAATTCTGCTTTACGTTTTACAAGTTCTATATCATATGGATGAGTGAGGTATGAAACTGTAAATATATCATCAACACCATTTTCAAATTCTTCAAAATGTTTGTTAAAAACATCCCAAAATTCAAGAGGCATTCGATTTTCTAGGTCATCCCCAGTTTTTTTAAATTTTTCATCAGATGAAAACGATACAATATTTTTACTGAATTCTCTATCATTTTCTAACTTTTCTAGTTCTTCATGAATTTTAATATCATTTGGACAAATTTTCTGAGCACGCTGTAGCATATTTTTTGCTTCTGTAAAATTCTTAAGAAATCTCAATGCTTTTCCCCAATTATAAAATAATTTAGCGTTGTGTTTGGCAAATCTATCAGCATATTGTCTAGCTTCTTTAGCCATAATGCATACTTTACTAAATGCACATAATTTTAAGTAGCAAATACATAAGTTTGTATATAATTTACATAAAAATTTCATAACTTCAGTTTCTTCAGAATCTGAATTTGTAGTTATAATATGTAATAGTTCTTTACCTCTATTATATTTTACTACAGCTTTGTCAATGTTTTTAGATTTGAATAATTCATTACCTTCTTTGTGAAATTTTAGTACTTTATTTAGTATTTTTTGATATCTATTTGGATCTCGAAAATCTTCATCAAATGAAAAACTGGATTCTTTAGAATAATAATTTACAAGATCAACTTCAAAGTGAATAGTAGCATTGCCTGGTATACGAGGTGGACAACCCAACTCTCTATAAGCCAAATCTGGATGAATAAGAAATCTAGCATGTTCACCTTTTCGCATTGATTTTATTGCAATTTCTAATCCTGGAAGAAGTTCTCCTTCACCCAAGGAAAATCGTTGTGGGCGATTCCCATGTAAGTATGTAACATCAAAAGGTTCTATTATATTTTCAAAATGTGCAATGTAATGAATTAATACAATACTATCTTCTGGTACAATCTGACCAACACCTATAAAAAACATTTGACTTAGTTTTGCCCTATAGTACAAAAAATTAGAAAATGTACACAGCTTACAAAGATTATAAAATAATAAACTCGGGTAAGACCAATACAAAGAATGATGTAAGGATAACAATATACGAGTAAAGAAGTAGAAATAGTTAGGAAAAGTGACAGAATTATAGATGTAAAATTAATTTTTAAGGAAAAAGTATTGAAAGTAGTAAGTAACTATATGCCTCAAGTAGGATGTAATGAAATAAACAAAAAAATGTTTTGGAGAGAGATGGATGAAATGATGCGAGGAATACCCGGTAATAAGGATACAGTGATAGGTGGAGATATGAATGGACATGACAGTAGTGAGAGTAGAGGATTTAAAATACATGAAGGGTATAGTTTTAGTGGGAAGAATAAGCTGGAGAAAAAATCATGGATCTTGCAGTATCGTATGATCTTGCTGTAATTCATACTTATTTTAGAAAGACGGAAGAATATTATACAACTTAAATGAGTGGAAGTAATAGATTATTTTATGTGAAGAGACAGAGAGAGTAAAGCGAGTAAAGTTAAGTGTGTAGTTATCCCAAGCGAGTGTAACTACACAACATAAACTGATGGTAATGGAGTTGTGGTTTAGTAGGAAGAGAGTATAGTTGGAGCCAGTTTTATATGTAAGAAAAGTATAGGAAATAGAAAAAAAAGCTGTGTATGATATTTATATATTTGAAAGAAAGTTATTTTATGAGCTAGTTAAATATGAATGCTGTTAAAAAATAAAATGAACGCCCTTATAAGGTATGAATTAAAAAAATACTTAATAATTAATAAATTGAATATAAAAATTTTAAAATACCAAAAAGAAATTTCTTTAAAAAATAATTATTTGAAGAGAAATCTAATAAATAATATTAACAAAATCACCTTGTATATAAAATAATAAGTAAAATTGTTTGTGTTTTAATTTGACTTATTAATAAAAATATCTGTGGCTATATTCCAAAGTAAATTAAATATAACAATTTCTCAAAATAGTAAAAGTAAATAAAAGATTTTAATGATGTTTTAAGAAAATTAATATTTTTATGTGTATAAAACAAATATTGATAAAATTTTTTCTACTGACTTTTGACTACAATTTTTTGGCACATGGCAGAATTCATTCTCTGCTAGACTAATTATAATAAAACATAATTTTGTACCTAACCAGGTTTTAATATCCAAACCACAGATATATTTAACATTTGATTTTTTATATAAATTTAAATGAGTAAAATAATGATAATTTTCTTGACAAAATTAGAAACTTGTCAATCAAAATGATAAAACCTACATTTTTCTATATTTTCAAGACTTAGTACTAATAAAAAAATTACATAGATGTAAAAAGATTAATTATTTTTATTTCACCTTTCAAACCAACAAAAAGTTATTCAAATGAATTAATATTGTTAATCATTGAGAAAATGTGCATTAAACTTGTACATATAGTTTTAAAACAAATATTATCATCAAAATAGTATGTAAAAAAAATTAATTATAGCAAACCATTTTCAGTTATTTCTTTCAAAACTTTACGGTCACCAGTTAAGTCAATCATATTTGCAGCTAATTGTTCAAAAGGTTCCATATCATCACCTTCTTCTCCCAAAACATTAAAGTTGAGAAATTCACTTATTTCTTTTTTATCATATTGAGTAAAATAACTCTCTTCAGGCTCATCGTTTGATTCAACAGTGAAAATAGATTCCTTATTTCCCCTCAATATTTCATCAGCAGCTTTTTTCAAGGTATTTTCTATGTTATCAGGTAATTTAGTTTCATAAGCCATTATTTCCTAAAAATATAGAAGTGGTAAATATAATGTACGTGTTACTATAGTTCATACTTGAATGAAATTTCTTTTAAAATGATCAACACACAATCAAATATTATTATTGCTGTAATTATTAAATAACAATTTTCAGAGATATCTTTTTTAACTATAAACTAAAACAAATTTTATTTAATATGTTTGCTTGAATCATAAAGCATATTTAAGCATTGGAAGCACCAATAAACTTTTAACTACAATTGGGTAAAAAAAACATAATAGACACACAATAGTATAAATTAATATGAAGAGTTAATATCCCTAAATATATTGTGTGTTGGATTACTAATTTTTGTGAAATTATTAAATATATAAAAACTGTCAAGGTTTACTTGTATAGATTCAAATAAATGTTATAATTGACTATTTCTTTTTAATTTTTTTAATGATTTTTAAATACCAAAATTCTGTTAAAATATAAATATTATTTAGAAAAAAATATCAAAACTATAACATTAAATAAGTTTTAAAAAAATTATTCGCCTGTTTATAAAGATTAAATGAAAAAATTAAACAACCTCAATTACCAACTTTTTAATTATTATTTTTATTCTTATAACTGTCATTTATAGAAAGGTTTTCTCAATAAGAACATTTATTAAAAAAAGAAATGTTGAAAAAGCAATTACAAGTTTAAGTTGATCATTATTTTTACTCAGATTATCAGAAAGAAAAAGTCAACAAAAATCATTGTTAAACAATGGACAATTTTTTTGCATAATATTTCTACTTTAAGTTATTGATTAATGTGACTTTTCAATTTATATTATATTATATTATGTACAATATAAATTATAAATATTGTATTTATCCCAAGATAATTTAAATCACATAAACAAATAAACAATGAATATGTTTAAAAAATAAAACTATGTTTACCTTTAATTTTATACTTCAAGAAAAATGCAGAAAATACTATATTATTTGACAATAGTAGTATGGTCTTAACCGATCAAACAAAATAATAATTGTTATTTTATTCGTTTTATGTATAGAAATATGGTCACTTCCGAAAATATCATTACTTGAAACCTAATAACTTTCGTTTCTTTATGATCAAGCGTTAAAAATACCATTCTCAATAAAATAAAATTCAGTTAAAATAAATGTTATCAGATATCAAAAACGGAATATACAGTTCACAATTTTAGAATATAAATTTGGTGAACTATACTTCTGCACTCTTATAAGGTATTACCGTTTATTGAGTTAAAAAAGTTTCAGTTGTTGTCCGTACAAACGCTGTTTTTAGAGGAATTTGAGATTCTAAAGGTATATTTTGTATACTTATATATACATAAATATAACCTCAAATTTCCCAAAACACAGAGCTTTTGTGGACAACACTTCTAACGTTTTAGGCTCAATAAAGAAACATTGATAAGAACGAATTTCGTCGACCTTTTTTTCCGAGGCTATAATACAATTACACCAAAGATAAGATAAGATCTTATCTACTCTCTAGTTATGCCAATAAAAACTCAGGAGGGTACTATATACTAGATATAAATGCCCGCCATTTTACAATACAGCTCATCTGTTATCAGTTATATTTATTCCTATGAAACAACTTATTATGTTCTTGATGCTTAGTAGTCGAAACGCAAAAATGTCAAATTATTATTGAATACTTTTGATAAGTTATTTAAAACCAATGACTAATCGTTTCAAATGGATAAAGGTATTAAAGTAGATATTATTTTAAATTCGAGTCCGTAAAAAGACAAAAACCCAACCCAACTAGAACAATTACAGAAGTTTAACTGTAATAGTTCAATATTTAGTGACTGATGAAAAATTATAAAATTTCACCCTTCAAAAGATTAAAATTTATATTACATCCTTGTGGAAGGTTGTAATGGCCAAAATTATTTGGACAGTTTTGGTTGTTGGAAACTGTTTTGAGAATGATAATTTATTTTTCTGCAATTGATAAAAGTATTAAGCTTATCAAAATCTTAACGTATTATTAGAACACGCGTCCTAAACAAAAAGAATAGTTTTACAACTATATTTAAATTGTGATTAAAATTTAATATTTTTATTTTAAATCAGTACAACAGAGATTTGGCTGCCTTGTGGTTAATAATATTTTTATTCTACAAACAATTTTTTATCATCAGATTATATTTAATAGAAAGACCTTTTTTATCACAACAAATAAATAATGGTCAATTACTCCCAATATACACCCTTTAATTTTCTACACGCTTCTTGCCTACTTGTTTCCGGATGATAAGACCTTAGCTCACTTTAAACATACCACTGCAATATATTTGGTACAGGACAAAGACAAAAAATTAAATTTGAAAAAAGAAAATGTAAATCACTATTATAAAACGTTTTATTTAATTATTTCTTACATAATATAAAAAAAAGAAACATGCTATAAAAAAACTGTTTTTTTTTACTCCGGTGAACAATAATCACCGGTCTACTGTGCTCTAGCACAGTTGCACTGTGGGCCAGTCCGTTTCTGATTAAATTTTTTTTAAATCTTAATCATATAGAATGTTTTATAAGATTTGATTTGATCTAGTGTTATCAAATTGTATTTATATAAATGTACGTATTTAGTTGATCTATAAGGTTATACCCTCATGATTCTTCATGAGGATATAATGAAATTAAACTTATAGAAATGCATAAAATGTGTAAAATTTTCTTTTATGCTTTATTCTCCTGATTTAATTTTGGCTATGTACTTGAAAATGTAAAATATTAAGATACAAAATAAAATTAATAGCAATACTCATATGTTTGTTTTTTATTTAACTAATACATTTTTTTGAAAGTTTTAACCCTTGTAAAGATAGCAAAACTCAACATATTGAATAGAGAAATATTCATTAATCAAAATTGAAAGATTATAATTTCAATAATGTGTTATAAAGCAAGGTGACGAATAAACTATAAGAAGTCGTATCATGTATCTATGGAAACAAACATTACAACAATACAACCACTGATGTGTAAACCGACATTTGCGTTTGTAATTTTTGGACTCGAATATACTCTTAATTTTTTAAATGTTTATTTTATTGTATAAGTTTACAATTAAAAATATTTATTGAAAATAAAATAAAAAGGTTAATACTCAGTTTTATTATTTTTATTACTAAGTAAAACAATATATCATAAGAAGATTTTTAAACATCAAGTAACAAAGTTATAATGTCTCGTATATCTAATGGAACTTTGTTACATCCTAACAATGAATTTTTAATGAATCGTCCAAATAGTTGTTCTACTAAAAGTTTACATGAAAAATCATGTCCAATGTATTTAAAAGTGTCATCTTTCAAGACTATTGAGCAGTGTCGTGAAAAAATTGAAGAATTAGAAAAACAAAATATTCGTCTTATATCAAAGGTAATCTATTAAATTATCCTCTATTGATTACTAAATAAACAAAAATATTATTTTGAAAACTCGGTACATATGCGTAAATTAAGAAAGCTTCTTTAACTCCTAGCCTCCCAAAATTATAAAAAAATTTGATATATAAACTTATATTTAAAAAACCCAGCAGTGGGGTCGTGGAAAACATAGTTGGGTCCTATATAGATTTAATCTAATAGTGATTAAAATCACTATCATTAGAAACGTTTCGATGCAAATCTGTAAAATGCAAAATGAATTTTTATGAGTGGTAAATAAAAAAACATTATTTACAAGTAGTTTAGGATGGCAATAAAAAATATAAAAAAATGATAATTGTAACAAAAGTTATAAGAAATGTCAGTTAAATCTCAGAACTCTATACTCTTATTTTGAAAAATATATAAAGATGTATAACGCTTAACATAATTTTAAGACTTCTGTTCTATTGTTCCGCAAACGCAAACATTCGTCAAACAGATTCAATTATTCTATTAGGCATAAGAAAAATTTCATTTTTTGGTAAACGTAAAAGTCAATAAACGTGTAAGTTTTAAAAATTGGATAGACGTTTACGCTCCACAATTATTTGCAGTTTATCGTACTAACATAAATAAATATTTTTTTACTTTAAATTCACAAAACTTGAATTTTAATACCAAAATAATTATTTTTAATTAATATATTACTTTTAATAACAATAATTTATTACAATTACAAATAAATTCATAGTGTTTTAATTTAATTCATTTGATGTGAGTTTAAAAAAAACATTGAATTTAAAATTTTAAATAATTAGATAAAACTGTATAAATTATTAAATTACTCAAAATCTAAAAAAAGAAAAAAGTAGCATAGTGGGGTTGTGGCATAGTAGGAACAAGTATAAATGATATCTGACATTGATTAAATTTATTATCATAAAAAATGTGTCGATTCAAATCTGTAGATAGTGTTTAATATTAGGAAGTAAGTGGAATATTCCCAAAACAACATGAACTCCTATTTCCTTAATTATATCCTGATTAGTAATTTTTTGATTTATAACTATAATATATGATTAAATATTTAATATAGCAATTAAATATGGTAAGGAATTAATATTTAATAATATAATAATGTAATTTTTACGGAGAAATTATAAAAAATTATAAAGTAATTTTTATAACTTTTAAGACAAATATAGATGAAATTTAAAGGGCTTGTGGTAATACTTTATAATTTTTTTTTTTTATGAATAAATACATTGGTCTACAAGGAATTTTCATCGGAATCAAAAATATAATTTTCTAGCTCAACAATTCGCATTGTTATCAAATTTGAAATTAGAATTTTTCTATCACTCTAAGTTTGATATTATAACTAATTATTAAAAAATGAGTATATACTTATAAAAAAATAATTAAAAACCAAAAAAAATTGTTTTTAATATATTACTGATTTTGATTTTTAATATGTTAAAAATAATCAGTGAAAAATGATATTTTCAATTTATCTTTTTGGTTCTTTAAAGATGATTTTTGTGGAAGTTTATAACAAAGAAAAGTTGAATATGTTAAAAATCTCTACAATTGAAATATTGAGAACTTAATTAATTTTAATGATTTACTTTAAAAACTTAAAAAACTAATAAAAATGTTATTAAAAAATTTTTTTCAATTGAGCGTATTATAAAATTTCATTAAAATTGTAAGAATTCTTTGTTGAATTCAGGTGAAACTAAAAATCATTTTTTTTAGAAATGATGTATATACAAACATGATATCAAAAAATTATAGATTGGTAGTAACACAAACAAATAGAGTTAAAAATTAATAAATTACAAAGAAAAATTATTTAATTTTGTAGTTGAAACCTTTTATTATATCAAATCTAATTCGACAATAAATACTTTTAAAATAATGTAAATAAATGATATTAAATGTTTGTATGGAGAAGGCTGGTTAAGCAACTTTATATTTGATAAAAGGAATTTTTTTTAATTATTGAGAGTAATATCTTTAACTAGATAATAGTCATAATTATTTAAAAAAGTTAATTTTTTGGAAAAAAAATATCATTTTGAATACTCTCCTGTGGGCAGGTTAAGATTTAGATTAAAAAAATATACATACAAAATTATAGATAAATACCTATCATTAAATAGAATAAATAAATACATGTATCAAAAAAAAATTGTTTCTATTTATCTATTTTTCAAAAAGTTATTGTTTACAGTTTAAAGTAAAATTTTAAAACGTTGAAGATTTCCCCTAGTTACAGGGAATGAGGGAAATTTTTTCAATTTTTGAGGGTAATGTCTTCGACTAGATACAATTTATAATCTTTGACGTATTGTTGAAAGAAATTGGTTCGGTGAAAGCTATGAAAAATTAATAACAGACACAAAAAACAAATAAATCATATTAAAATTAATACCTTCGCATAAAAGCTAAAACACACTACCAAAAAACTAATAACTTCTCAGTTTTGCATCAAAACTAAATTTGTCTTAATGTTGCTTATATTTTAATATAAAAAATTAATTTTTAGGAGGATAGTATAAAAATTGATGGCTTTTTTTTATAATTATAAAAAAGTTTTAATTCTATACAAATTTGAATAATCTGTATTATCGTTTTTATTTGTTCCATCTGTAAAATATAATTGTATGTTATTTATGTAATACTATTTGAAATTATTAAAAAATAATATTAATGGTTAAGAAAAATACCCCTGAATAACGCCTTTATTAATTGTTGTCAAATTGAGTAAACAACAATGTTTTATTTATTATTCTGAAATTTTTACTGGATTGTGAACAATTGTACATAATAAAATTTAAATGAAAATTAATATATTTTCAGAATTTCATGTGATGGCAATTTTTTCTTTATAAAATTTTGGAGCAAGGCTGATAGAAAAGTGATGCAAATAGTAGTTACGTTGGGTTTGATAAATGTAAATGAAAGTTTAATAACTCGATACAGTCAGAAAGATTTGTAGTAGGGCATAGTGGACACTAGTATGGATTAAAATCTGATAGTGATAATTATTACTATTAAAGGCGAAGCATAATGGTTAGGTAGAGGATAACAGGCCAAGTCCACTATGGTGCCACACTTTGAGAGGCATAAAGAACTATGAATACAATTACATATTGCATAGATGTATTTTGTTTAAAAATATATTAAATAGGAGGGGCGCCAATTAGCAAGGCACTGTCACTAAATTTTTTTAGATATTTTGATACGATAAAGTTATCGAGGCCACATTTCAATGTTAATAAAAGAAATTAATAGTTCAATGTATCGTAGTATTAAAATTATCATATCTCATAATCATTTTTTTTGTAAATTTTTAAATTTTTTGTCACTATAGGAGATATACTGTACTTTCGTAAAAAAAATTTAATCGCGTATATGAAATTAATTCTTATGAATAATACATTAGTTTATAATTAATAAAAATTGGTTAATAATTGTTTTATATTAAATAGTATTATGCATTCTCTGAATGTTAAACATCCTATCGTGAATTAGTACTTAAAACAATTTCCATCTAATAATATTTTGTATAAGGGATCTATTCCCGTCATTCCCTTAATTAAGTCCCTGGTCCGGCAATCATTTCATCAAACAGTTGAATCACATTGAATCGTCCCCTACGTAGTCAACTATTTTGAAATATTATCTATTAAAAAAAAAAAAAAATGTTTAAATCCTAATTAATAACAGATATTATTACGTATTTCTTATCCATTTAAAACATAATAGATTAAAAATTGTATTTCAAATAGGCCAGTCTCTCATTCTATCAATAGAAATGATTATTACAACCACCCTTATATGAATATTGATTAGTAGTAATCTAATATTTCCTAATTCTCTCTAATTACATTAATTCGACTATTTTTAAAAACAAATGTTAGATTGAAAACTAAAAAGTTCTATCTTCTATGGAAATTGTATAATAGAACCTATTGGTATTCGAATGGCGAAAAATAATTTGGGAGGGCTAATTTAATTTTTTTTTAATATCCTTTTCTAAATGGTAGATTATGATCTCCTAGTTTCACTAGATTACACCAAAAAAAAAACCCATCACAGGGGGGTCGCGGCACAGTGGTGACGTGGCATAGTTGGATCAAGTATAATGAAATCTGACAGTGATTAAAATCACTATCTAAAAAAAAAGCTTCGATGCAAATCTTTAGATAGTGTTTAATTTTAAAAAATTGGTGGATTATTCCAAAAGCCACATGATCTGTCAGTTCCTTATTAATATCCTGATTAAGATAAAGTATGTCGAATGAAAGAGGGATTATTAAAAAATATTATTTCTCATAAAAAAATTCTGTTGATCCATACACCTTTCAATAAGTTATAGCATTAGAAAGATAAAAATGTAAAAAATAAAATCGTGAATTTTCACCGTGAAGACAAAATAAAGTCCTAAATTTTTTTTCCATAATAAAGTATATTGCATTATCTTATATTTAAGATGTATATAAAAGCGTCAGAGTTTCCGAAACATTTCAAAAGTTAAGTTGAAAAAGTCATTTTAAATCCCCCTCTGTGGGCAGGTAAAGAGTCAAATTTATAAAAAAATATACCAAATGAAAGGTAACGACATCATGCATATATACAAAAAAATTATATTCATTTGGTTATTTTTAAAAAAGTTATGGCAGTTTTAAGTAAAATAAATTGAAAAAATTTCGAAAATTAGCGATTTTTAAATTTGTAAATTTTTTGGAGGTTTCCCCCATTTACGGGAAACGAGGAAAATTTGTTCAATTTTTGAGGGTAATGTCTTCGACTAGATACTATTTGTTATCTTTTGACGTATCGTTGAAAGAATTCGGTTCGGTGAGATCTGAGAAAAAGTGGTAACAGACAAAAAAAAAAAACACATTGTAAAACCAATACCTTCTAAGCTTCGCATCGAAGCTAAAAAAATGTCATTGAAAACTCGATTCATTTTTTATGGCCTGATTTAAAACAAAGGAAAGTTAAGTATTTTAAATAAAAAAGTACTTAACATTTAGTCATATTTATTATTTATCAATTAGAATATTTAATAAATTAATCAAGTTGATTATAATTAAATTAATATGTAAATTAAATGATGTAATAATATTTAATAATAATAATAATAATAATAATTATTATTCAGGTTAAAGTATTGAAATATCAATTAAAAGCATCAACTTCATTGTACAACAACATACATCAGAGACCAGAAAAACCAATATCTAGGCTTTCTCAAAGGTTTGTTTAAACAAATTTAAAAAAGTATATAGTATTAGTGAAGACTAAAAGTTTATTTATATTAAATTAGATCAACACCTATTAAACAAAATTTGTCAAGATTATCAAGAGTAGATTTTGAAGAAAATACAAAGACTATCTTACTTCCAGAACGGGTATATTATAGACAGGTCCGGATTAAGTGAGGTCTTGTAAAATAATGTCTTTAAGGCTCATCGATTTTAAAGTCACTTGAGGCCAATTCTCAAAGTTACGTGATAAATAGTACGATATATTTTATTAAGTATCGTAAAAATTTAATGAAAGTGATGAATCAGAATTGATCACTTGTGGCTAATATTATTTTACAAAAAAAAAAAATATATTTTTAGTTTTAAATAATATTGTTTTATGGTTACTATATATAATGATATTATTATTGATAAAATTAAATCTGTTAAAAAGTCAGAATACATTTCAATTATTCAATGAAGTCTGGATTGAATACTTTAGTATTCAAATGACATAATTTATTTTTTGTATTTTTTTATTATTTTGTGACAAATAAGTAATATATAATATTAATATAAATAGTTATGCATCTATTTGGTATATATGCATGGATTTGACAATAGGTTGTAAAGAAATTACTTCATGACAGAATTATTAAGACCCTCGGACATCAATTGCAAAAAAAGAGTTCAACCTCTTCAACGTTTTAATAATCCTCACAAAACATGAATACAAGTAGTATTCTATCCTCCCCCACCGAAGAATAAATTAAACAATATGTTGACTATTAGATAAAAATAATTTAAAGGAGAAAATAATTCAATCTTTTATTCCTATGCATCTGTCGATGTATAGTAACGAAGCCGAGTTACCTGGGGAATTATTTTTAAAAATAATAATACCTTATAATAACTACAATAATTAATTACCACTTATCTATGATTGTAGGGGGTATTAACAATATTCACATTGAGCCCATTATACAATTTATAGTATATAATGTTCTTTCTCATTACTTTTTGAAGTTTTTAGATCCTGATTCGCCACCACCTCTTTGCGGCTGGGCATGTCGATGTTTTTTTTCTTAAGTATCCCATATTATCGAAACTCCTTACTGAGTTTTAACTATAGATATCACTTAATATTTTCTTCATTAAAGTAGATATGTTTTAGGTCCAATAGCTTTGTATAGATAAATAAAACAGCTTCGTTGTTTAAGAAAGAATCTTAAACTAAGAGAAACCGTGATATAATAACGGCTATAAAGACATTACAGAAAAGCGAAATAAAGATAGACAACAAAAGATCCAAAACCCAACATCTGAGAATTGGAAGAATATCAGGAACAAAGAAAAATAGCAAGTATGAAAATAAGAAGCATAAAAAGAGAGTATTCATGACTTTTTTTTGAGAAATGTATGTCTTTCAAAGAGGAATTCAAAACCAAAAGCTGCATTGTTAAAGATGACAATGGTTGCTTGATTACAGACGAATCAAATATAGTTGAACAATTCCGGAGTCATTTGAAAAATTACTGAATATCACTAATGAGGATGGCAATCCAGACGAAAGTCAAGAATCGACCACCTAATACTCTGTGCAGCCAGACTACTAGAACTAGAATATTAAAAAATAACATGGATCTTAAATCGCTAAAAAACAACAAAGTATCGTGGAAAATATTCCGAACGATTGGAAAACAAGAATTATTGTTATTTATTGATTTATAAAAAGGGAGACCTGATGGAAACAACAAACTAAAGAGGGATTTTACTTTTAGACACCTGCTATAAAGTTCTCTTGGTGATAATCATATGAAATCTGGAAGTTTATGCTAATAACACAATTGGAGACTACCAAAGCGGCTTTAGAAAAGGAATATCTAATACATAACCCATTTTTATCATCGGAAAATTGTTAGGAAAGTATTATGCATATGGTTGAAAAATGTATCATAGCTTTGAGGACTTCAACCAGGCGTACGAGATTATTATCAGAGAAAAATTATAGCACTTGTAGAATTTGGTATTCCAATTAAATTAATTCAACTGATATAAGAGTGCAATACTGAGTTTCTATGTTAGAATTGATCTAAAACAAGGGGATTTGCTTAGCCCTGTACTTTTCAATCTGACATTAAAAAATTAATAAGAAATATCCTCACTAGACAAAATATGGAAATTCTGAAATGGAAAACTATCTTGGCGTACCCAGACGATATTGCTATAATTATAGTTCCCAAAATGAGGACTGCAAACCTAATAAAAGTAGCTAAACCTATTTAATTAAAAGTGAACCAAGAAAAATGAGGCATCAAACTGATTTGCTAGTGGATAGATATGTCTTCCAACAAGTAACAGATTTCATATACTTAGGAACTAATATGAACAACAAGAACAATATGCACATTCAAATTAAATTAAGAATTTCATAAGAAAACAAGAAATATTATACAATTGCAAAATTTTTCAAATAGAAAATACTGTTGAGAAGATTAAAGAAATACCTATACTCCAGTTTCATAAGATCGGTACTAACGTATGGGTGTGAAACCTGGTCGATGACTAAGGGACATGAGGAGAAGATGATGATCATTGAAAGAAAAGTATTAAATTTAATTTATGGTTTAGTTGTTGATAATGAAGAACATAGAATGAGAACTAGCCAAAAAATTTAACGAAGGTTTCAGAAATCCGTTAATAGTTTGTATCTATAAAGTGTAATATTACAATGCGAGTCATTATTTATTATTAGAGGTCTGAATATATAGAAAAAATATGTTTATTGGACAATTAAACGGGAAAAGACCAAGGGAACGACCGAAATAGTCATGGACAAGCAGGGTGATAAAGTAAATGTAAAAGAAACAAGAATTTATGACAAAGATAGGTGGAGAGGAGTGGGTTTATGATAGTATTAAATCATTAATATACCATTAAACAATATTTATATATATTATAATATATGTCTAGTACGGCAAAGACCCTATTTTTGTAATATTTTCGTCGTAGCGTGAGGTTTTAATGTTATGATGATTAAATAAAAATGACTCTCGGGAAAAATGATATGAAGCAGTGATTGTACATTTTTCTCGATATATTTTTTAATAATTTTTGAGTTAAATAATTCAATGATCATTTACGATCATTATAATTACGTAATAATTATATTGACCTATATATATACATATAAACATAATATATAATATTGTATTAATAATATAATTTAGTTTAGTTTGATAATTTTTTTATTTGTGAATCAATTAATTTACAAAAATCATTTATATTTATACCATATAACCGCAATAAAAAAATTTAAGTTTTCTAAAATTCAAAAATTTAATTTTTGTGCCCTTTTTTTGATTTTGGACCAATGTGCGTCGGCCTCAGTACATCTTAATCCGGTCTGGTTGTTCTAAAAGACATGAATTAAATAAAGTACATTTTAAAATTTTTAATTTTTAGAAATTTGAAAGCACGGAATCATTTGACAGTGACAACAGTCTTATAGATAATAAAAGTAAATTAAGAGAAAATATTGAAATCATTCATTCCCATAGAGTTTTTAAAAGTATGCAAATAAAATTGGATACTTTAGAAGCACAATGTAAATCGCTTGAACAAAATCTTTTAGACGCTGATAAATTACTTCAGAAAGAAAAAGATATTCAAGGTATAACTGATTAATTTTTAATATAAACTTTTAAAAATATTGACATTTTATTCAAAAATCTAGAAAGACTAACTAAAGATCTAATTAGAGAAAGACATACATTAAGTGAAATAAAACCAAAATTAAATTCATGTAAAGAAACAAATAGAGCACTAGAAGAACAAATTCGTGATTTACAAGTAAATTATAAATCTTTTAAAAATCACAATTTAATCATAAAGAATACAAAATCTCATTAATGTTAAGGGTACTTGGAGCTCTATAGGTGAAGTAACTAATAGATCATTTCTTAATTAACAATTAAATGCCTGTGAAAATAGAAGATGAATTTATATTTGTATTAAGTGACGATGTGAGAGGAATGCGCAGTGTGTAATTGCACTAAACTTTGTAAAAATAAAATAACCCTTCTAATACATTGATAAATACTTAGATTAGTGGGGCAGTGTGGCCGAGTTGGTAACGTGACAGTGCTTGACGCGCACTGTCTCAGGTTCAAAACTCGGTCACGGTCGGCTTCATTTGCTGAACAAGAGATCAGTTCGGTAATTGGAATCGCCATCCCATTCTCCAGCGACGGACTAACCGCCCGTTCCAGAGTATAAATGGTTAAGAAACCTCTTCCTTTGGGGGAGGCCGCTATGGTCCTTGATAGGTTAGTAAAAGCATATAAAAGTAATTATTTACAATTTTTGTTATTATTCTTATTTCGTCAATTTTTTATGTGAAAAAAATTCTAATATAATTTCGGGTTACATATCCAATAAGTACCCTTAACAATCGTAATAGTTTTGAACTATTTCGCTTTATACTTATTTTGATGTCTATAATTTTAATACAAAGAAGGAAAAGTCGTCACTAAAAGATCATAACCAAAAACTTTTATTGCTTACATCTAAACCACATAATAATGGGCTCAAGGTAAAGTAAATATATTTGTTAAGTAATTTTTTTACTTAATTAATCAATTTTTAAATTTTTAAGTTAAAAGAATTGGAAGATAATTTTACAAATTCAAGGGCAAGCCTTTTAAAGCAAATGGATGAGAATAATAAATACATTGCTGAATTAATAACAGAAAATGAACATTTTAAAGTAAATTATATGTAATTATAACATAAAAATTAATAACTAAGTTCGAAACTATTATTTTTTTAACACTCGAATTGTATGTATTCGAGTATTCACTTGAAATTAAAACAACATTAAAAATATTATAAAGTTAAAAATATTTAACCGAAGAAGCCACAAAATTAATAACTAAAAAATCGCGGATACGTATTTAAGGAACAATGGTTTGTTTGGGACAGGGAACATGTGGTGCCTCGGTGCGCAATTATCGAGATTTGATTCCATATAAATGAGTTTTTTTTTTTTTTTTTAACAAAATTTTAATTATTATGCTATCTGTTACAATATTGAACAATAAGCTTAAGTGATAACATAAAAAGAAAAAAAAACAGACAGAAGAGACTGAGTGAAGAGACCTCCCATCGGAGGTACTTCAACATGAATATTAATTTAAATTTAAGGTATTAGTCCTAACATAATATTAATAATAGTGATAATAAGTTGGATTGATACATATACATTTTTTTTTTTTTTTTAAATTATAAAAGTAGGTCACGACACCACTGTCTTTTTAATCTTTTGTGGGGATTTCCTGGAATAGTTGCAGATGATAGTCGGACAATAAGGGGATTGGAATGATGTGTTAACTTGTTATTGAATCGTTTGTAGTGGAGCTTGGCTAGTTTAGTGACGGTGGATAAATTGAAGTCGGAATGAAGGGTATCATTTGAAACATAGAAGGGAGCTTTGGAGATGACGCGAAGGACTTTGGATTGGAACCTTTGTATACGGTTTGTATTTGATACTTTGGCTGAGCCCCAGAGTTGCAAACCGTAGGACCAGATGGGCCTGAGTAGTAGTTTATATAGCAGTAATTTAGTAGGTAGTTTGATATTTTTAGAAGTTAGGAATGGCCGGAGAAGACGAAAACGATCGTTCAGCGTTCGAGTTTTATTTTTAATGTGAGCTGACCAGGTAAGTCGACGGTCGATGTTGACTCCAAGGTAGCGTACATTTTGGGCAGTGGGGAGGGGTTGGTTGTTAAGGAGGAGGATCGGGCACACTCCTTGCCGAAGTGTAAAAGTACAATGGATCGATTTGGATTCATTAATTTTAACTCCCCATTCCTTGTACCAGGCTTGGAGAAGGTGAAGGTGGTCCTGAATATAGCTAGAGGCTAAATGAGGATCAGGGCTAGAGGCTAAGATAGCTTTATCGTCGGCAAAGTCACCGACAAGCGTATGGAGGGAAGAAGGTTGATCAGATATATATATGTTAAATAGGAGGGGAGCTGTGACCGCACCTTGAGGTACGCCTGCATTGATTAAAGTAGGAGCAGAAAAGGTGGAACCTACTCGCACTGAGAAGTGACGGTCTTCTAAATAGGATTTAAGGATTAAATAGTAGTGACTAGGGAGAAGAGTCTTAAGTTTATATAAAAGACCAGCATGCCATACGCGGTCGAAGGCCTGAGAGACGTCCAGAAACGCACCAGTGCAATAGAGTTTTTCTTCCAAGGCATAGGATATTTTGTCTACCAATCTGTGCACTTGATGAACGGTGGAGTGGCTGTTGCGGAAGCCAAATTGAGGGTTAGGTAAAATATTTGCAGTGTCGACAATGGGTATGATACGTTTTAGTAGGAGTTTCTCGAATAACTTTGAAAGTATTGGGAGAAGACTGATTGGTCTATAAGAAGTCGGGGAGTCCGGGGGCTTTTTGGGTTTTAATATGAGAATTATAGTAGAGTATTTCCAGAGAATAGGGAAATAAGATAATCTGAGCATTGCATTGTAGATTTGTGTTAGGAATAAGATAGATTTTTTAGGTAAATTTTTGATTACTTCTGCAGTTATTAGATCAAATCCGGGGGATTTTTTTCCTGGGAGCTTTTTAATATTAAAGTAAACTTCACCAGGGGAGAAGGCTCTAGGAGGAGGGGACATCTGCAGTGGAGAGTTGATAAAGCTTTCAACTTCTTGGATTTTGCTGGGTGATAAAATGTTATAATGCGGTTGGAAGGTATTTTCTAGATGTTTCATAAATATGTTTGATTTATCTTGGTCAGAGACCGCCCAGGTACCATCGTCGTTACGTAGAGTAGGGGGTGGATTTTGAATACGTAAAAGTTTTCTAGAGGCCTTCCAAAGTGAACCATCATTATGTGAAAGTGAAGATACGTAGTTTGCATAAGCTTCAGATTTATGACTAGCAAGGAGGCGTTTAAGTTTTAGTGCAAGGGCGTTATAGTGACGCTTATCAGATGGGTATCTGGAGTGTTGCCAGATTGCTCGTGCACGACGTTTCAGTGATATGAGGTTCCTAATGTGTATAGGAAGATTAAATTCAGTCTTTCTTGGAGGAGGTTGGATTGCTGATTCCCAGACGGCCGATTGAATGTTTTTTGTGAGTAGGTTAACAGCATCATCAATGTTGGAGGATTTTTTTAGACAAAGTTTTAGATCAGTTTTCTCAGATAAGGTGTGACCAAATTTTTCCCAATCTGTTTGATATTGAGATAGCATCGATGAATTGAGTTTATCGGGAGGCTGGCAATCTACTGAAAGCAAGACAGGTGAGTGGTCTGAACATGGGTCTAACAAATTTTGAGTTTGTGTTTGTAGGCTATTTGGAATTTTGGCGACAAAGATATCTAGAATATCAGGCATTTTATGACGAGATGTGGGCCAATAGGTGTAATTAGGTGGAGCGAGAATTGAAATGTTAGAGTGGTAGGCAGTTTGAAGGAGAGAGTTACCTCTAGGGTTGGAGGCACGGCAGCCCCATTGAATATGTTTAGCATTGAGGTCACCGCCAACTATATAATTATTATTTAAAGTGGCTAGGAATTCAGTAAATTGATCCGGTGAGATTTTGTGTTTAGGAGGGCAGTATGCCGCTGCTATGGTAATAGGTACATTGTTGAGCAATAAGGAAACTGCACACGATTGAATGTGATTTGTATGGAAGTTAGGTAATGGAGTATAAGCGAGTGAAGCTCTAATAAATATAGCTGAACCAGCGTGGGCAGAGTTGTCTGGATGATTTGCACGGTATGAGTGGTAGCCAGGAAAGTTAACATAGGATAAATTGGTAAAGTGAGTTTCAGAGATAAGTACTACATCTATTCTTTTTTCCTGGAGAGTGATAAGGAGTTCGTTTCTATGGTTTTTAAGTCCATTGGAATTACAAAGTAGGATTAGGAGGGAATTAGAGGTGTATGAATTATTTATCATTTTTGGATTCAATAAGTTTGGTGATGACAGTGGTCAGGAGGTTTATTAAGGGGTTAACTATTGATTTAAGTTCATCTAGGAATTTGGTAAGCATGAGATCAACATTGGTTGAAGAATTATCAGTATTATTTTGAGTGGTGCCGTTACCTGTTACATTAGCGTATGATCGAGTACTAGGTTNAAATGAGTTGTACAAGTTTTTTGTCCTCTATCACACAAGAATTAATTTTTTTTAATTAGAAGTGCGAAAGTTCCAAAAAAAATGTTCTCATTCTGTTCCAAATAAAAGAATGTATAATATAAAGTAAGATTGTAAGAATATAAAGTGATTTTTTTTAATGTTGGCCACATAATTTTTCTTAAAATAATGTTTTTGTAATTTATTTTTTTTTTTGTTATTAACAATTTAGAGTAATGAAAATAGGTGACGAGTGGGTACTGCTATTTTTATCACAAGATAATTCTTGTCCTCATTCCTCCTACCGTCCAGGTATAAAAGTTTAAATAACTTTAATACTTTTTTAAAAGTTATTATCAACGACTTACGGGTCTCTATCATCAAAACCAATGCCGATTTAGGTCGTGTCACGATTTTAAAATATAGAGTGGAGTAGGTGCAGGTATGACACTTTATATCTCTAGATTTTTCTCAAGTTTACTCTTTCTTCCACTTAAGTATGAATATTTTAATAATTTTCTAAGTACTAGTTCGCAAATTATAATTCATTTTCTTAATTACATAATTTTCTATTTTATAAGCTAGTTAATTATATATGTTTCTTTTAAAAAATATAAAGTTGACACTTCTAAAAGACATAAGGATAACATAAAAAATGTTTTATAACAGATAAAAGGATTTGCATATGTAACTAAAAAAAACCAACAAATAATTCACTAACAAATTATTGTTTTTAAATAGAAATTGAGTGGCTAATGTTAAAAGAATTACTCTATATGTCAAGAGTACGTTAATAAAATCAAGAATTTTTAAAGATAGATGGTGACTGGATGACGGGTTTGCGGACTTCTTATATTATTAAAAGTTCGTTTTACGAAATTTTAGTGGAAAATAAATCGCATACTATCGTCAGTAAACAACGTAATAAGATAGTGCTTACTTCTATCTTTTACATAATATGAACTAATATTTGATGTCATAGAAAAATCTTAAAAAAATTCAAAATCTAACAAAAATAAAAAATCTATAGAAACGTAACGACTGAATTAAAATGAAATTTATTGGTATCAAAATTTTTCTTTAAAATTTATCTATAAATTGGCTATGTTCAAAACTAATTAGAAATATTAATAGAAAAAATTAATTTTTGATAATTTTTTGAAATTTAACATAAAACATATTTTAAATATAGTTTTATAATGTAAAAATTTATTTAAAAAAAAATTTATAAAATGTTACGTAGATCGATTTATATGAGTTGTCAGTTAGTACCACTCTGTATAACTTTATAATATCTCGATAATATACATATTACGTTTCGGTATGAGAAGTACGACAGCGGTCAGTGTAAGTATACGGAAGACATCCGAAACAAGAGAGTGTTCACTACTGGCGCTCCGTGGTCGTCTACACTCCAATAGGTAGATTTTGCATTCCAGCTAGATAGAAATATACAGTATCGTGTCAGAACGTATGGAAGGGCCACTTTATTGCAAAAAAAGTTGTCAAAGCAGATATTGATAGTAGACGAAGAAGGATGATTAATACAACTCTTAATATTTTTTTTGCTTTGGAAAAAACTCAGAGATAAACGTAAAAGGATCTAAATTAGTGCACATTTTAATCCAAGAGTCTTTTTTAACATTATTTTGATTTTTAGTAAATTAAGAACGGATTTCTTTGCGATCTTACAGGACGAGTTCCTCATAAGGAAATTAATATATAATTTTATAATTTGTTTAATTTTTGTATGAATTTATATTCCCGCAAGGGAACCTTCATTGTTACCGGTGTGACGATCTCAAGTCATCGGTGTTGGGAAAGTGACGCGCCCATCGCCCAGTGCACTCATAATGCATTGCAATAACCTTCTATCTAACCTTAATTGGTCGGAAAGAATCGGTCCTTCAGGTTTGGGAATTGAGCGACCTATACTAATTAAAAATTTTTCTACTGTGGATCTTTTACCAAAGCCTTGGAAATACGATGATATAAACGGAAATTTGACTGGAAATCGGAACGGCAAAAATGCGAAGATTATGATCGGGACATGGAATATTAGATTGCTATACAAACCAGGTGCCCTCAAAAATATAATTAGTGGAAATAGCAAGGTATAAACATTGTAGCTCTACAAGAAATACGTTGGCTCGGAAACGGAAATGTGCAAGCAGAAAATGCAATAGTATTCTACAGTGGCACAAAGTCCAATAGACACGTGAAAGAAGTAGGATTCGTAGTAGATAACACAATTTTGCCCTGTATAAAAACATTTGAAGATGATAATGAACGAATATGTTACATCCATGTAGCAAGACGCAAATTTGACTTAATTTTAATTAATTGCTACGCACCAACTCAGGACAAAAATGAAGAGGAGAAGAGTACCTTTTATAGAGAGGTAGAAAGAATATATGACTCCTTACCAAGATATTGTTGGTATATTTTTTCATAAAAATCAAGTGGCATTAAAATTATGCTTGTTTTTTAAAATACCTAACACACGTCTTTACTTTTACAACCGTACACGTGTATATATTTGTTTACAACCGTTATTTTAACCCTTAGTGGTTTGTTCTTTATACGAAATATGGTCGCCTTTAGCTTATAAAAGTTTAACCGCAAAACGTTACCGTTTTAAGGTGAAATTATATATATATATTTTTCGTGGCTTAAATCGTAGTTATTTTTAATTCTTCGTAATCATGGGTGACATCCATGCACTAACCCCCTTTTCGCCATCTTCGGGCATAGGTAAGAGAGGTTTGGGGCTTCAAAACCATCCAATAAAAAAAATTTTTACTTGTCAATAATATTTATTAAAAATAATTAAAATGGGGTAGGAGATTATATATTTGAAATCCTCTCACGAACCATTTTTACCTACGCTCCTAATTAAATCGTTCATGATAAACGGATCACCATATATCTAAATATAACAATATACAGGGTGTTCAGTAAGTCAGGAAACGGGTTTCTATTGTTCTCATTGTTACAAACAATGAGAACAATAGAAACCCGTTTCCTGACTTACTGAACACCCTGTATAACATTATTTCATTACAGAATCAAAATTTGGAACTTTCGCAAATATTAGAAAGTAAAGAAAAAGAAATTCAACAAAACCTGAAACAATCTTTAGAGGCAGCAGAAAAATATAAAGTTTGTCTTTTTTATCATAAACATAACAATATTTTTTTTATACATAAAAATTAAATAAAAAAATAGTCAAAGCTTTGTTATATAAAAAATGTCCAATTCACAAAAGATTGATCAAATAGAAGCAACAACCATTTTTCGTTAAACATGAGTATACAAGGTGTTTTCTTTTATATAACCCATATCCATTATCATATTCATATCCTTATACATTATAAGGGCACCAATTTTATTTATTTAAATGGCAACATGCATATTTTTTTAGTTTAAACATTAGAACATGATCCAACTAAAAAAATGTCGGGTCGATAACAACTTGAACTGGTTTACCGTTAAGTTATTACTATATTTAAAAGTAGACTGGAGGTAAGGTACGGGTTATGTTATTTTTATCATTGTTCATAAAGGCGGATTTATAAGAAAGGTGTTCAAAGGACCTGGAAATCCTTCTGATTGAGCATTAAACATTTCTCTTTCCGTCTAAGTATAAAAATTCCTTTAACTTCTGAAATACCTGTTCATAAGTATTTATCTACTAGTTATTTTCTTAGTTGGATCATTAAAAGAAATCAACGGCAAATAAATCACTTTGTATAGCTTACTTTAATGATTAATAATTAATCAATAGATTTTCCAAGTTGACTGCTCATTTCTCAAACAAGGTTCTTTAAGAATAATTACTACAATTGAATTAAACCTCTAATCTCCATAAAAATTATATATCAAACATTGCCAAAACAAATATTTCTCGATTATGTTGTTTTATTCAATGCAGCCTATTGTATACATGTTTATAATTTAGTCATAATTTCGCCGTCTTACAAATAAAATGATCCGTTGCCATTGTACATTTCTTATATTATATGTTTTGACATTTTATTTTATATACTATTATATTACGAATAATTTCTAAATCTTTTTAATTACATAACCTTTTCAATTCAACAATTTTTTATTAATAAAAATTGATTTATTTACAGATTAAAAATGACTTATCAAGAATTAATGATAATCAAACGGTTCTTGATCAACCTAATATAGATACTGATGATAAAAGGTAAATTTAGTATTTTCAAAGTATAATTATTAAATTTACTAAATTTAAATCCTGCTGTCTAAAAAAAATATAAATATCAATATTAGGGTGGTCCTTAATGTATAAATGCAGAATTTTTTTTTTCAAAATTTGATCGGGATACCCCCGGAATTTGTTCTAAACTATAAAAAAATAATTTGTGTCAAATTTCATTAATTTTGGTCAACCCTAAGCCAAAAGCATAATGCCTCAAGAGGGTTGAAAATTCAATCATGAGGGAAGTTTTTCAATAATTGTAGTTTATCTCAAAATTGATGACTTTTACATAATATTTTATAAGAAAAAAAATTGTAGATATGAATATTTTACATAAAAAACGGTAGCACAGTGGGGTCGAGGCATAGATGGGACAAGTATACATGATATCTGACAGGGATTAAAATCACTATCATAAGAAACGCTTCGATGTAAATCTGTAGATAGTGTTTCATTTAGAGAAATTGGTGGATTATTCCAAAAGCAATATCAACTCTTATTTCTTTAATTATATCCTAATTAATAGTTCTTTGATTTTAAAATGTAATATATGAATAAATACTAATTATAGTTTTTAAATTTAGTATGAAATTGTAAGGCTAGCTATGATGTCTGGTTCATAGTGTTGGGCGGTTGATGAGAAAGTAGAGCAGAGAATAAGTGTAGCAGAGATGAGAATGCTTAGTTGGATGAGTGGAGTGACTATAGAAGATAGGATAAGGAACGAGCATATAAGAGGAAGTATAGGTGTTGCGTCAATCGTGGATAAGATGACAGAAAATAGACTTAGATTGTTTAGTCATGTTATGAGGAGAGAAGAATCGGAAGCTGTAAGAACAGTTATAGAAATGAATGTTGAAGGAAGAAGAGATAGAGGAAGACCAAAAAAGAGATGGAGGGATGCTATTGAATGCGATTTGAGGACAGCTGATGTGAGCGTAGAAGATGTGGGAGATCGTGTCAAGTGGAATCTTAGGATAAGGGTGGCCGACCCCAAGTAGTTGGGATTAAGGCAAAGAAAAAGAAAAAGATTACCAGAAATTCCGGTGGCAATTGACATAATATGATTGTTGTTTGGGAATGTACAATTTAGCGTTTAGTTGGGTTTAAACAATATAGTATCAAATCAATTACCTACTCTATCGATTGTATCTTAATATACACTACACTTAAATGATACAATAAATAAATAAACTCACACATACACACATATGCAACTATAACATTGTGTCTAATGTATAACATGATAAAAAGTAACCGTAAAATGAAAAAAATGGAATATAAATTTTAGTACTCATATTAAATGTAATGTAACTCGAAAAATATTTGTTTAAATGAAAAAATATAAGATAATTTTTTTGTTTATAATTGTCTTTTAAACAACTTTTGTACGAAACTTTTTTTTGTAAGTTAAATATTTTTTGAAAAAATTTAAAAAGCTCATATTTTTGAACTTATGCGAGGCTGTAAAAAAAAAAGCTTAATTCCAATCAATGAGGACTATTAGTATGTCATTATACATATTTTAATTCAACTTTTAAAAAAACAAAATTTGGTTGGGTAATTTTTAAGAAATTTTTCCTTTGTTGACTGGCCTAGATGTCAATTTTAAATTTGTAATTGAGCTAAAAGCTATGGTAATATATTTTTAGATTTTTTTTACTATAATCTTTCATAAATCTTTATCAAAAATTTTTCATCAACTTTAAAGAACCAAAAAAATAGGTTAAAATTGAAAATTTGGACTGATTATTTTTAACATATTAAAAATCAAATCAGTAATAATTTGAAAACAAATTTTTTTTTCTTTTAATTATTATTTTATATATATAATTAGTAATAATATAAAAAATTAGAAGTGATAGAAATAGTCTACTTGCAGATTTGAAAACAACGCGAANAAAGTAATAGAAAAAGTCTAATTGCAGATTTGAAAACAACGCGAAAAGTTGATTTAGAAAAGTATATTTTTGCTTCTGATGAAAGTTTCTTGTAGTCCAGTGTATTTATTCATAAGTAACAAATTTTTTATTTATTTTTTTCAACGATACGTCAAATGACTACAATTCGTATCTAGGNGAAATTATTGTATTATTTTTATACACGTAAAAGTAAAGCAAAATATAACTTCTTTATTATTTTTATAATTTCTTCGTATAAATTACAATATTAAATTATTGAATATCAATTTCATACTTAATTATAATTAGTATATATTCATATATTATATTTTAAAATCAAAGAACTACTAATCATGATATAATTAAAGAAATAAGAGTTGATGTTGCTTTTGGAATAATCCACCAATTGCCTAATTAAAACAAAAAAAAAAAANAATAAGAGTTGATGTTGCTTTTGGAATAATCCACGAATTTCCTACTTAAAAAAAAAAAAAATTTGGTTGGGAATATTTTCTGTTCTTCGACAAAATTACTCCTTCGTTGACTAGAATAAATCATTAAATAGAAAATTTGATGAGAATTAAAACAATGTTATTTTTAAGATTAATATGCAGTCAGAAAGTTTTATAATTATTATTTATTGTAAATTTATCAGAAAAACTCATTATTTTTTGCATTTTTATCGTAATAGANTTCATTATTTTTTTGCATTTTTATTGTAATAGAACACTTAAATAAAAATCATAATATCATTTCTAAGTAATTTTTGGTATTTAAAAAGATTCTACAATTGAAATATCCAGAACTGAATTAATTTTAATGATTTACTTTAACTAAAAAAAAAAANGAAATATCCAGAACTGAATTAATTTTAATGATTTACTTTAACTAAAAAAAAGTTATCATTTTAAATTCCTCTTGTGGGCAGGTAAAGAGTGAGATTTATAAAAAAAAACCAAATGATAGGTAAAGACATGCATTTATATAAAAAAAAATTATACTGATTTGGTCATTTTTGATAAAGTTGTAACAGTTAACAAAGTTATAAGTTTTATACACTGTACTACAAAGAACTTTCATCAGGAACAAAAATATAATATTCTAAATCATCATTTCGTGATGTTTTCAAATGTGCAATTAGACTATTTCTATCACTTTTAAGTTTTACTATTATTAAAAAATAGAATTTACATATAAAAAAAAAAAATTAAGAACAAAAAAAATTGTTTTAATTTAATACTGATTTTGATTATTAATATGTTAAAAATAAGGGAAATGACGTATTTAATCTATTTTTTTAATCGTTTAAAGTTGATTGTTGTAAATGTTTATTATAAAAAAAAATAATTTATTTTACCATAACTTTTAGCTCAATTGGCAAGTTTGACATTGACATCATTAAATAGAAAATTTTATGACAATTAAAAAAATTGTATCGTTAAGATCAATACATTCAGAAAGTTTTATAATTACTATTTATTGTAAATTTATCAGAAAAGCTCAATATTTTTTTGCATTTTTATGGTAATAGATAACTTAAATAGAAGTAATAGTAATAATTTCCTAGGAACTTTTGTTGTTTGTTGAAAAGANCGTAATAGTAATAATTTCCTAGTAACTTTTGTTGTTTAAAAAGATTCTACAATTGAAATATTCAGAACTTAATTAATATTAATGATTTACTTTAACTAAATGAACCAATCAAAACAAAGTCGTTAAAAAGATTTACTCAATTGAGCGTATTATAAAATTTGATTATATTTGTAAAAATCAATTGTTAATTCCGGAGAAAAAATAATCATTTTTTTTAGAAATTATTTATATAGAAACATGTTACCAAAAAATTTGGAATATTATGGTCTAGTAGTAGCAAACAAAAATAGAGTAAAAAAATTATTAAATTACAAAGTAAAATGATTTAATTTTATAGTTGAAACTTATCATATCAAACTTCATTCGTTAATAAATATTTTGAAAATTGTCTTTATGGAGAACATGTAATAACTAACTGTTTAATTGATAAATTAGAATATTTTTTTCAATTTTTGAGGGTAATATCTTCAACTAGATACGAATTGTAGTCNTTTGAGAGTAATATCTTTAACTAGATATGAATTGTAGTCATTTGACGTATCGTTGAAAAAATTAGGTCAAGTTAGAGCAGAGAAAATAAATGATAGTCACAAAAAAATTTCTTCTCAACTTTGCAACGAAGCTAAAACTTAAAATATAGTAAAATAATTTTAATACGAATAAGAAATTTCTTCTTGCAAGGGGCGACTAAAGTGATGGGATCCTAGATCTTTATTGAAGTTATTGAATATAAATGAGATAAAAATCAAACGAGTTAAAACTTTATACTAACTTATAAAGAATTAAGAAAAAATGCATAAAATTCATTGCCATAAGCGGATTGGAATCTCGTACCCCAAGCGTGTAAAACATAAATTTTACCCACTCGGCAACCGTAAGTTGCTACCGTCGCTGTGAAAAAATTAGTTATTTAAGCTAGTTCAAATTTCAAAGTTATTTTCTCGATTTAATAGAAGCAAACAAATTTAAATAAGTTTAACTTTCTATGCTATATTAATTTTAATTTATATAATATTTATGAAAATCTGTACTCCCCTTGTCAAGTATTTTAAAATAAAATAAAATGCAAAACCCAGAATTTTAACACAAAAATAGCAAATTTTTGAATACGGTAGTCATTTTTACTATGAAGACAAATCCAGAGGTCAAATTTTTTTTTTTAAATTAAAGTATATTATATAAGCTTTAATTTAAGATATATATAAAAGTGTCAGTATTTCCGGAATACTTTCAAAAATTAAATTGAAAATATCTTAGTAACAATACGCATGTTTAAAGTTTTGACCCCCCTTGTTAAAGGGGTATGATCCGATTTACAAAAAAAGCGTGCCAGATGAAAGGGGTATATAAATATTTATTATAAAAAAATAATAATATTGATCCATACATTTTTCCAAAAGTTATATAAAATATAAATTAAATAATATAACATATAAAATCGAGATTTTTTTCACGGAAATCGTACGTTTTTCTTTAACTTTGATGTCCGTT